ATAAAATAAAAAATTTATATCTTTATGTTTGAAGCCTGAAATGTGGCAAAAGGTTGAAAAGTTCAAGGGGGCCGAATACTTTCGCAAGGCACTGTATATATTATATATTTTGTGAATGAATGAATGATATATTAGGGCAAAACTAAAGTTTTTGTCCACAAAAAGTTACTTAAAGCTTACAAAAGAAGAGTATAAGCAGTATCTTGTTAGTTGCATGTACTCTGCTAACCATAAGTAAAATGCCTACAAAATGTGGAATAGAAATCATGTCATAAGTAAAGCTATATGTATTTAATTAACACATGATTTTAACTTAGGCATGGGTCACATGAGTAGGTGTTCCTTTCCAGGAGGTGCAGTTAATGATACTACGCTCCCTGTAAAGGATGGTTATAAGGAATTCAAAGAGATTGCATATGTGACTAAGAATATAGGAACATTTATTGACTTTTGGTTTACAGAGAATGTAAAGGATTTATTAGTATGTCTTAAAAATATCCTGGGTGGCACTTCTTCTGTCTCTTTCCTTTGCTAATGGCATCTTTGCGTTGAAGGAGTGCCTCCATGCCCAGATTCAGCATTCTTTCTGCATGGCAGCTTTTATGAGCACAATCTCAGTTTATTACACTTGCTTTCCACTTTAGCCACATTGTAATTAAGGTCTTTTTGAATACCAGGTACATATTGCTATCCTTATTACTGCTGCATAATTTGCATACATTATCATCAATAATATTCAGAATATTTAAAGTATTCAGTATGTGTAAATTTATACACCTTCAAATTTGTTTTTATTTGGTTTGTGAATGCGATTGTGAATATGTGTCTCTTGTCATTTGCTTAAACAGCTTTAATCACTTTAGAACCCTATGTAAATGACACCCTAAAGGTTTAACAATAAAATTATTTGACAAAATAAGCTAAGAGGAAAGAGCCTGCTTCCAGTTTCAAGAATTTAGGAGCCCATCTGATTTATCTAGCTATATATAGTTGTATGTTCTTTGGAATAAATGTCATATTGTATTGTAATGTCTTTTACAAGGCCTAACATTTTTCTATTTTACATGCTTGATATAAAATGTTTAAGTATCCCATTCCAGTAGTTCCTTATTAATCTGTGAAGCTCATAAAGAATCTGAAATTAACCTACATACTGTACTAGATACTAATGAAATATCTCAATACTAATATTGTGAATAATTTGAGAATATTCTATTGTATATTTTAATATTTGGCTTCAATATATATTTTAACTTTAGCTATGTACACCCCCCAAAAGAAGAATGGTTATAATAATATATAATGATTATAACAGTAGCATAAAAAACATGATGTGTGATTTGTTTAGTGTATATGTCCATGACTGCATCACAGGATCACAACATAAGTTTTAATGAGAACCCTACTTTTCAGCGAGTTGTGTACAATATGCCTATATCTTATTTTTATCTATACTAATGTTTCATTTTATTTACTCTGTGTCTGCTTATTTATATGCTGATTCTTGGGGGGAAAAGCAAAAGTTCTGGAAGGATGTAAGTCCATGATGTTAACATATTGTGGCTGTTAAAGCTTGTGCAGATTTCGTCAGTGCTTTTTGTTTTTTTCAGTTTTATTTATTATTTTATTTATTTGCTTGTGTGCAGTGCTGTTAGTTTTGCATGCATCACATGTTGTTTTGTTGTCATGGGAATGCTTAAATATCCAATTTTCATTCAGAATCTATAGAGCATTTTTTCAAATCTTTTTGCTCAAGTTCTAAATTTGTTCCACTTGTATTTCTGTCGCCAAAAAAGTCAAACTGAAATTCCAAGATTAGATCAAGTTTTAATGATTTATTTTTTCCAGGGTCATTCTAACTACCTTTATTTTCCCAAATTTTAACAGGAGCAAAAAGTCTTGAAAATTGCCTGAAAATTGCACTGAATTGTACTGTATGTTTATCCAGTTTTGTAAGGAAAAAAATAATGAGAATGTGTGAATAACTGTACATGTGACTTTGCATGATGTTATTCTGCTGTGTTTTTACAGTTTTACAGTTGAGTGTAATTATTGATTTCCTGAAGTTTATAAGATATGATAAATTTCTATAATAAAGATATAATTAGACAAAGATTCATGATGCTAATGAAAAACATACTGTATACATGTTTATGCTGTGCTATCTACTGTATATTGTCACTATAAATGCATTTGTACAATCAGCAAATATTTATGGTGACATGTTAAAAAGTATTTCACATAATCTCATTCTTCTTTCTTTGATCCAGTGCCACAGCCTCCCACCATCACTGCCCAGTCTCCAAAGGACTACATCATAGACCCTCGAGAGAACATTGTTATCCAGTGTGAAGCCAAAGGGAAACCACATCCCAGGTACTTCATCATGCAACACCCAGTAACAATTTCAGAGCAGAGATTCTTTGGAACTTTCTACAAAAATCTTATTTCAATTTAAATATTATGTCTCTGGTAAACTTATAGCCTTAATCTCTTCTTAAACTCTTTGAGGAAGTTGTTGTTAGGATTAAGGATGAGTGATTTTATGTTCATGCCTGATTTGTGGACCTGTTAATATTTTGGTATTTGTTGAGCAGCTTCTCCTGGACAAGAAATGGAATGCATTTTGACATAGACAAGGATCCGAGAGTGACAATGATGCCCAATTCTGGAACCATTGTTGTTGACATTGTCAATGGTGGGAAAGCGGAACTCTATGAAGGAGTTTACCAGTGCACTGCAAGGAATGAACATGGAACAGCACTATCTAACAATATCATCATTCAACAGTCCAGTACGTTTTTCATTGGTCTACAAAAACCTGCAAGCCTTAACTATTCATTTTAATAATAGCTTTATACTTTTGACACAGTGATTTGTATTTCATTTGGCTTGTGTATGTAATCTGCTTAACCACTTTTCTTTTTCTCTCCTTTTTTAAAAAGATTTTTTTTCAATCATCAAATTCTTCTATCTAGAAGGTAAAAATAGCACCTGGAAGGGCAGCATGGAATTTATCCTATGCATTTTTCCTATATACTTACATTCCCGGTATTATCCTGAACATATGACCTAATCTTTCTCCAATGCCGTCACCTTGTCTTGTACCTTTCACAATGAATTTTCCACAGAACAGTCCCAGGGTTGTGCACTTTTCCAATGTGCATGCCATGCTGAAATCCTGTAGACTCTGCAAATGGCCATGAGAAGCTTTATTTAAAATGAGGTTTATTCATTGTGACCACTTAAGTAATAATCAGTAATCACTGATTTCTTTGATTGTTTACTCTGCTAATGCAGAGAACAGTATACAGTACTTAGGCATAAAATATTTTGTGTGCCTTGTGCGATCTTTTGACAAGTATACAGAGCTGTAGGAGAGACTGACTGGATTTCATGTGCTTCTCCCAGGGTCCCCCTTGTGGGCCAAAGAAAAAATTGACCCTATTTTTGTACAAGAGGGTGTGCCACTTGTACTGCCATGCAGACCTCCTGCTGGACTTCCACCTCCCGTTATATTCTGGATGGATAACAGTAAGTTAATAGCTATTAAAAAAGTAGATCCTTCCCCTGAGAATTAATATACAGATGCTTTCTGTATAATAATATATGATTTTGTATTGCACACAATGACATGAACATTTTTGGTAGCTTTGATTATTTATTATTTGCAATTGTATATAAAACTCATTGTATACAGTTGGGAGGCACTTTAGGTATGTTTGCTATGTTTATAATCAAAATGGGAATTTCTTAGCATTTGCATTATAATCCATTTCATGTTTGTTTTTGTATATTAATGGAAATCCATATGCATCTATAGCCTTATAGATTAAAATAATGACCATGACAGTATGAAAGTGCTGAAATGACACTCCAGATGGATATTTCTTTCTTTTTAGATTTTCAGAGGTTACCACAAAGCAAGAGAGTCTCTCAAGCCTTAAATGGGGATCTTTATTTTTCTAATGTGCAAATGGAAGACACACGAAATGACTATATTTGTTATGCGAGATTCACTCATACTCAAACCATACAGCAGAAGCAACCCATTTCAGTGAAGGTTTTGAACAGTAAGTACATTTGCTTGAACTGCATTATTGACCATAGACCTGTGTTCTGTAGAAAAGCTTGCTGCAAAATGTTCTGAAAAAAAACAAACTTCCTGCCAATCTAGCACATGCTGAAATGTTGTGGCTCAAATTTCTTACAGGTTTCTTCATCTGTAGACTCTTTCAATAATCCAGAATTGACATGTATTCTGGAATTTACAGGGAAGCTTCCTGTGAGATTAATGAAGGAATCCTGAATTTTTCAAGTATCCTTCAGGGGTTTTTGTGCCTGGAGCATTTCTGAATTTTTTAAATGTTTTGTGACATTAGCACTTCTATCATATTCACTAGAAATTGGTTAGATTTATTTGTTACAAAGAAATTCATATTCATATTTGTTTTTTTTTTAAGAATTTGCCTTACTTCATTATGGTGACATTCTTGTAAAAGTATTTAAAAACACTGTTTCTTGTCAGAATTGATTTCCTTGAGTGCACTTGTGATACGCTATATTAACAAACACTTGCAATACACTGCATGTTTATGATTTTTTGTTGTATTACAGTGGATGCAATCAATGAGACAATCGCTGCTTTTTTGAATGACACTGATTTTTTTGGTGGTGAGTCTTGGCAACCCTTAGTGATATACTATACTTTACCTACAGTCTAACACTAGAGCTAGAACACTAACATACCATGAACCCTACTTCACCTTCTTCCATTATTAAGTATAAAGGAAGTGTTCATATAACCAAGTGTTAACTTAACATTTTTTTCCGTATGTTGAACCTTTAAAGAAAAACTAATATTAAAGCCTTTTCTTATTTTTTCACATTTCATATCTCCTCTTATTTCTTTCCTTTTGTAGTTTATACAGGAATCTAGCCATTCTATATTAGCTGCAAAAGAAGAAGCAGGGGTTAATTCCACACTGTAAAATAAAAAGAAAAACAATCACAATGTTCCAGCTGTGCAGCCCTCTATTTTGAGTTGTTTTTTTTTACTTTTCAGCATGGAATTTACCTCTACTTGGGATTTTTTCGGGGAGCTCCTCAAGCTTATCTTGTGTTGGTTAAGCTAATTACTTAACTAGGTTAAGCTAGTTAAAGCTAATGACCATTTAAAAAAAATGAATTAAAAATACAATAACTCATTATTCAAATTGATGGAAAAATATAGAAATTAATTCCTTTTTATAAAACGACCAACACATTTTTTTTCATAAATTATATTAATCATTTTGCTCTACTAATGCATATCTGTGTAGTGAACAACTGGCAAGATATTTCAAGATATTTACATGCTCTGATCAATGATTAAATAAGAACATCATTATAGAAGGAGCACTGGAATGGTGGTTAGTGAAGGAAACTGTTTTTAGCTTTTCTATTTTAAGGAACTGAAAAAATCATGGAAACATGGAAAGGAAAAAGCCCAAGACTTCCTCTAAGACTTTTGATACCACTCTAGATAAGGGGTTGCACATGTCATTTAAAATAGCAGAGCAATAATAGTGTTAATAAGGAGGTAGAAACTGATCCATACTAATGATTAACAACAAAATAATTAACTCAAGTACGATTGTTTTACTATATAAATGAATTATAACAGTTAATTAAGTTGCCTGTTTGCTGTGCAAATTATTTATTTAGCAACCTCTAACTATAGTGTTATCAGCATTTTTTTCCTCTACTCTTCATCCAGTCATTATATCACACATATCATATACTGATGCTACCCTTCATTTGTATCAATACCCTTTCCTCATCTTGTATTCTTGTGTTTTTGGATAAGAACAATTAGAAGAAAAAAAATAATTTACCATTTCTGCGCTAAAGAAAATGTGGTTCCTAAATCACCAGTTTAACAGTCCGATAGAGGGGAAAAGGGTGTCCATTATTGTCAAATGTCTGTTCAATCAAAAAGGACACTTTTTAAAACCCAAAAACACACTATTATATGAAATATATATATTATATTTTCTGGATTTGTATTTAATGATTGCAATAAACACAGTCAATGGAAAATGTTCCTGTGCTTATTTTTATACAAGCTCTTTTTTTCATGTATATTAAATACACTGTATAACATTTGCTAAAGCATATGAAACACAAACAACAACCATCACTATCCATTCTGTCCATTAATTCTGAAGCATGTTAAACCGAGGGTTTATAGATTTTAGCAAAACTGATTTTTATCTTATATTTTGAAAAATGCGTACAGTAATCCCTCATTATACAAGTGTAATGGATTCCTTGAAAACTGCTCCTAAGGTGAAAATTCACATTATTTCTGTCTGTTACCCATGTCTGATTGGTTCCAGAACTAAATAAAATGCATAAACATTAGGTACTATCCTGTAATATCAAGACACTTAACACACACAAGCTTTTATTATAATAAAATTAAAATGTAATAAAAAATAAAAAGTAAATTCCTCATCTGAGGAGATGCGATGAAAGAAGAATCTTGGCAAAGCATTATGAACACCCCACTCATAAGAGTGAAAATCTGCTTGTTAAATTAAAAAAATAGGTAGCAATGACTATATCTCATAAAGACGAAAACACATAAATTGGTTGCTCGTATAGTGAGGGATTACTATATTCAGTCTCCAAGAGTTGAGTCATGATGATCTGACAAAATTATAACAAACAGCTCCTTACACTTGGTAAGGTCAGCTAGACATTAAAGGCTGGGTCTTTTATTCATGAGGGGGACATTTTTAGGTATATTCTTCCATTTTCTCTGCATTGAAAGGAAAAGGGTGTTTAAAAAGTAAAGATATATCACATATTCTGCTGACATTGACTTCAGAAGGTAAGGTAGAGATTAGATTTACATTTCAGAGATTTTCTTGACTGGTGCTACAACAAAGCCTTTTGGCAGGCTTTTCCTGAGGTTTGCCAGAAGTGATGATTGGGATTTTAGTGTACCAATTCAAATGACAGCTAAAACTTAACACATCACTCTCTTCTTTTTATAACTGTGTCTGATGCAACCTCCAATGGGTAAATGATTCTTTTTCCAATTCTTTTCATTGAACTTGAGAACTTTGGGAGTGGTTTTAGAGTAAAGTGCTCAAGAACTGACACTTTGAATGTTGTCCTTACTCATTTCAGACAGCCCTGTAGGAGAAAGACGTCCAACATTTTTGGTTCCAACAGGATCCGTAAGCACTAAAATGGTATTGAGAGGACAGGATCTCAATCTGGAATGCATTGCTGAAGGGCTGTAAGTCGTCACACAACATAAAGAACATGTTTATATTGATGTAAAATCCTATTTACAAAGTTCCATCTTTTTTGATTTGTTAAGACTTATCAGACATTATCATTGCTGATTTTTATAGTCATGTGGGAAAATGTAATTACAGTGTGATTATCAGAAATATTTTATGAGAATACAAGTTTTGGAAAATTGTAAATGTTGATACTGTAGGTACAGTAACTTTTAAGTGTGTTAAGTAACAGTCTCTTAACATTCTGATAGCTCATTAGTTTCTGATATTTTTCAAACTGTTTATAATCATGCGATAAAGCCAAATTAAATTAGAATACATAAAAAAAACATATGTATTGATGTCTCTTTGTGTCTCTTTATGGAAAAAATCTAGTCATTTAAGTAGAGGATTCAGTCCCACAGAAGAAGTCACTGTATTGTAGTAACATAGATCATTTTAACTGACCATCGAGTAGAGACCCTTGATGTACTGTATGTTTACTTGTAGTAACTAAGGAAATAATTGGTTACATTAAGTTAATCAGAGCTCAGCTGGAAAGAAAAGAAGGAAAAACAATGGCTTTCTGAGCAGAAAAGATACAGTATTAAATAGCAGTTGCAATTTGCTTTTCTTTTGTGCTTTAATGCAATGGTGTATCAGGTAGCGTCTGACTTTTTTAACTATCTGTTAAAGATTTATTCTATAAAGACATATAGATGTGATAAAGATTTAAAAATCCACACTGTATCAGTTTTTGGAAGATTACTGCATAAAACATGTACAACTTTCTGTAAGTCCTGATATTTGTTCTTTAAAGGCCAACCCCTGAAATGACCTGGATGAAGGAAAGTGGAGAACTACCCAGCAAAAGGACGTCCTATGAAAATTTCCAAAAAACACTGAAAATTACTGACATCACTGAGGCTGATGCCGGTGACTATCGGTGTACTGCAAAAAATGTTTTGGGATCTGTACACCATACTATAAAGGTTACAGTTAAAGGTATGAGATAAGTTTCTAAAGAAAGGAAAACATTCAGAATACATTTTCATAGTTGCAACATTGTTTCATTTATTGTTACTTTTTATTCCGCACAGCTGCTCCATATTGGATAGGTGCACCCAAGAATCTCATACTAGCTCCCAACGAAACTGGATTGCTCACCTGTCGTGCCCAGGGAAACCCAAAACCCTCCATCACATGGTTAATGAATGGCATACCTATTGAAAGTATGATTTTTTATCTTTATTTGTTTCCTGGATATACAGTATGTACTGTTCAATTGTTAAATTCACAGTTTTCTGTAAAAATTGTACCTATAGTATACTGTATATGAATATGAATGTTTGTAGCCACACAAAAGTGGCTTTATACCAGTGCAAAAGGAATGCAAGGAGTACTTCTGTAATGGTATTCAGAAAGCTCTATTGTGCCTTTTTCTTTTGGATAGATTCTCCTGCAGACACCAGCAGGAAGGTGGAGGATGACACCATTATATTCTCAGAAGTTCGGACTGGTTCAAGTGCAGTTTATCAATGCAATGCTTCCAATGAATTTGGGTATTTGCTGGCCAATGCCTTTGTTAATGTGCTTGGTGAGTTGAATTCAACATAACATCAACATTTTTTACACAATAGTGTAAATTTCTAAGCATTTTGTTAGAGATCATCAGAATTGAAATAACATATTAATGTTATTAGTGTCCTAGAATTCGAGCAACTTTCTTTGGAGCCAAGTCATGCATACAGCACATTATAACCTAGACTTTTGCAACATTAATATTGTAACATTGAGGCCTGTAGCTTTCCTGCACAATATAAATGGATCCATATTAAATCTTTCAAGAAGATAGCTGTGTCAGCATGTGCAGGCAGCAAAGGAACAAGTAAATATTTTTTTCATGCTGAAACGCTGTGTTTCTTTTCTTCTCTTTTCAGCATGGAATAAACCTTTACTTGTTCATTTGCATACTAAATCTTGTTTGTTCAAGGATAGTTTGGATTATTGTAAATTACTATCATTGGGCCTTACATACATAAATCTCCTTTTACTTTTAAATTCATAGGCAGGTATACAGGAGAAAGAAAATAAGTTGAGGTAGTGTAAGGTAGTGATCAAGTAGTTTTTACTGATATTGAATTACATTATATTGAATTAAAAAATATCATACACTTGACACTTATTATGTAGTAAAACAAATCACACATGATAGAGTTATGATCTCATTATAAGTCAGATCTTTTTATGTCTCTTAACTTCAGCTGAACCACCAAGGGTACTGACTGAATCAAACAAAGTTTACCAGGTCATCAGGAACAAACCAGCCTTACTTGAGTGTGCCTCTTTTGGGTCACCCAAACCTAAAATCAAATGGTAAGTATTGCATTCACTTTAAGCTTCAGTATTTTATCTAGATGTAATATTGTGAAGTATAGAAACAGATTAAATATGCTTGAAATTAAAACAATTCGCTTCTGGTAGAAAGGTTGCTAAAGACTACTGAGGTAATAGTTTTTGTGTGTGTGAATAGATACAGTATACACATAATGTATATAGACAGTCAGACTTTACAAAGCATAACATTTTTATAATCTTATTTAAATATCTTATCTTAAATATGTGCATTAGATTCATTAACACCTCTATCCATCATTTGTTCTCACTATGAAGCTTATTAATTGATATTTAACTGCAAAGTGAATCATTAGGAAATGTGTTAAATGCTCCTTTTACAACACTCTAATCCATGCAGCAAAAGCTACCCTCCTGTTATGTAGTGACAGATTGTTATTTTTCCATTTCACAGCTGGTGATAATATTAGTCTCACACTTACAAGTCAAATGTATTTTACAAATACATCTACTAATTAACATGAAAGTGCATCCACTTTAACAATGTTAAATTCATACAATTTGTCTAACATTTTTTCTTTAATTCTTTCTTTAATACTCTATTGGTTGAATTGCAGTTCAACTTTAACATACAGTATTTATAAGTGCCACTGTATCTTTTTTCTTGCTCTATGGTTGTTACTTAAACAATACATTTTGTTGAGATATGCATTTCTATGACTTTATATATGCAGTATATAACTTTGGTTATTTTAGCTCTTTTTATTCTAATTGCATGTCTTTTCTTTTTTAACAAGGTTCAAGGATACCCAGACAAGTGTTTTGGATGGGGATCCCTATGTTGCGCATGAAAATGGAACCTTGGAAATTAATGTTGCTCAGACTGAACATAGTGGAAAATACACTTGTTTTGCAATGAATTATCTTGCCAAAGCAGAGAATGTTGTTTATTTGGAAGTGAAGGGTGAGTATGCAAAATAGGGTCTAACAGAGTTTTTTATATGAAAAACACATAAGGGAATCGTGAAGTACCATTCAGTGATTGTTGAAAATGAGTTAACTGAAGTGTAAACAAATAAGGCAGTTTGTTTTTCTACTGAATTGCCATAAGAATTGCCATAGAACCTCACATAAGTCAGGTAATATTTCAGAGCTAATAAAGGTTTGATAAAGGCTTAGACAGAGCAGCTCAATGAAGACACAAGCAAAGCATATCCATCAGTAAGCAAACAGAACTTACAGAAGGCTATTTATGACTAGTCTGAAACACTGTTTGCTCCAGCATTAGTAATATACTAAAAAAAAAAGTGAGTTAGTGAATTAATGATTAGTAAAAAAAAAACAGTTAACAGCAAACTAAAGATAGACAGCATATGCTACATTAGTTAGACATTAGATATAGATCAGGGTGTTTAAGGTTAATTAGAAACATATACATCAACCTGCACACAATTAATTATCTTGTTGTGTATGCTATTTACTACTGTTCTCTACAAGGAACAGTGTTACATAAGACATGTTTAACCTTGACAAATCATCCTCAGAAGAACAGTACATTATTAAATAAAAATAAACACAATGACAGCGCTAAAGTCAGGAAAATGTATTTTAATGTGGTGTAAAACTTGGCAAATTATTCAAAACTGTTTCTTACTTTCTCATGTTTTAGAACCAACAAGGATTATTAAACAACCAATATACAAAAAAGTTCAAAAAAACAGAAAAGTGATTTTTGAGTGTAAGGTTAAACATGACCCAAGCCTAACCCCTACAATGACCTGGCTAAAGGACAATGAGAACCTGCCAGATGATGAAAGGTAAGTGCGCACATCCTATGTGTGGGCACACAGTATATGTAAGCATAAAGTATACCAGTGTAAACACTATAGTATATAGTATATATATATACTGTATACTGATGGAAAAAAGAAATGCAACATTTTCTGGAATGAGAATACTATAGTTTTAGCTTATGTACTTTCACAAAAAGTTGTCAATTTGTTTTAAGCCCTCTGACCAGCTTGTGCAGTGAGACATTGCAGCTTGCCAATCACATGAAAGCTCGTTAGGTGCACTTTTACCAAACGTGGTCCAGGTGGAGCTGTGCCTGATCTGGTCACCTTTAAAATGTTATGGACACAGACTGTGATCTGTGTCAGGTCTTGTAGTGGACCCTATGCGATGCGGTAAGAGCTGGAGAAAACAGGAGGCATGGTAAAAGGAAACACACAGGGGTTTAATAGTGCACAAAATAATAGTGACAGTCCGTGAGACAGTGAGCGGGGAAGACAAGGAATAGCATCCAAATCCAAACGGGTCCAAAGGCAGGTCAGGGCACAGTCCGGGAGTCCATCAGCGAGTAATCTATCCTGGGACGCGACAAGGTTAAAATGCTCAGGAAGGGGGAACAAACAGACAAAACATGGAGGTCCACGGGTGACGGGGCAAGATCCTCCAGACCCTGGGCTCAGGAAGCGGGAGGTGTCAGGGATAAGGCCTATGCCCTCAGGAGAGAGACATAGGGTTTCTTGGTGCCAGGCTGGCCTCGCAACATTCTTACCCTAAAGATGAGCCCCGAGGACTGGAGGAGCTAGTCTTTAAATAATACGGCTAAGATGGTACATCTGGGGAGCTTAACGATCACAAGGACAATAACGGGAACAGTGGAGCGCCCTCTAGGGAGGAATGTCGGGCGTGACATAAAAGGCCTTAATTCAAAGCTTAGGTCACTGCAAGAAAAAGGCCACACTTAGTCAGTTTTCTGTGCATTCCATAATGCCTTGAATGTCACCAGAAGCAAGAGAGAGGGCCATTGGCATGGTGCAGGCAGGCATGTCATGTGCCAACTTTGCCAGACACTATGGAGTAAACCGCTCCACTGTGTCCTGACTGCAGAGAAGGTTTCAGGACAGATGACAGTCCAAGATTCGGTCGCCCTCGAGTGACCACACCAGACCAGGACTGACACATCAGACTGGTCCATCTGAGAGATCATTTCAGATCTGCTGAAACTGCCAGCAGACACAACGCCCGCATCAGTGACAGGACAGTGAGGCTCCATGCTGCTGGTCTTAGAGCAAGGCAACCTGTCAGTGGCCCTCTGCTTACACCTCCTAGATGTCACACCTGACTGGCTTGGGCCAGACAGAGGCTGCGATGACTCATCAGCAGTGGCATCAGGTCCTCTTCACGGATGAGTCACTCTTCAGCCTGTTCCACACAGACGGGCCAGGAGTGTTTCGTTTCTTTTTTCGATCAGTATATAAACCATTTGTATTCTTACTCATTTACAAAGACCATGGTATTTGATTACAGCTCAACAAAATAATGTTTTGGTTTTATTCATGAATGATGTTTATTTAAAAACATTTACAAAATCAGTTATTGTGTATCTTAAATTATATTTTGGAAATCTGATTTTCAGACTTACCAGTTATTTAAATGAAATACATTTAGGCAAATCAGTGGTTTTAATGAACTTCTGCACCCAATTCATCTGATTTTAGAGATAAAGCACAAGCCATGGAATCATCTGAGACTCAATCCACTTGAACAGAAATAAATCATAATTCTGGCATTACTTATCACATTAATTACTAATATACTCCTTTTTCTTAATATTTTAAGATTTGTAGTGGGTTCAGAGAGTCTAACCATTAATGATGTTACCGAACTAGATGAAGGTACATACACGTGTATCATGAATACCTCTCTGGATCAAGACTCTGCAAGTGCCGTGCTAACAGTTGTTGGTAAGAACGCTTTATTTTTCTTATTTAGCTTTCTCTCTTTACAGGTTTCTTCAAACATTGTAGTACACCTAGATGATGTCGTAGAAAAAAAACAACGTTTTTATCTAAAAAAATGTATGTCCTTTTAAATACTGACACTACCTTTTATGTATTATATATATATACACTATATACTATATACACTTTGTGTGGTGAATGAATGTTTTAAATTTAATTTAAGACACACTGCTATTACCTTTTTTATTTTACATTTTCGAAAACCTGCTCAGTTTAATATTCCTAACACATTATAATGCAATACACTGTAGAAATGTATTGCTGTGTTGTGTTTTAATATTAATACATTATTATTAGTAGTAGTAGTAGTAGCAGTGTGGTGGCAGAGCTGATTGTGGTGGTAAAATGACTCTAGTGCTAATGTATATGCTAAACATTTAACCAGTAATAAATAGTACAGGGGTTAATTTGTGTGAATGTAGAATCAATCTGGAAAAAAAATGTATTGCATGATCTTGCAATATGAATTCACTTAGTATGAAGGTTGTGTCTTTCTGATACCTAATTTGTGACCAATGCAAAATTTTTATTTTCATTTGCCAACACAAAACCAAACATAAGGTTACATTAGCTGTGTGACTTCAATGTGGCTAGTACAAAAACTGTAAGTTACTAACCACTAACTACAACATTAATCCTACATTACTTTCCTTCTAGCTGCTACCCCAACTCCAGCCATTGTATACGGTAAATGATCAGCAAGTGTCTGTCTTAACTTTCAGCATTTTCTGTTACCGTTTTTTTTTTATTCAAGCATGCTGCTGTTGGGCAATGTTTGTTTCATTTGCTATGCACATCAGTATCATAAGCACAATGAAATGTTGTGGAAAACAATAATTCCATTCATTACATCCCATGTACTGTAGGTCTTTGGAATATTCAGTACTTTTTTATTTTCAGTTTCATTAATTAATTGTTAATTGTCATTAATTCTTTATGAAAGGTATAGATTTGGTGTCTTTTACAATATTTTTGTTATGTCTCAAAATGTTTTGCAGATGTTACAAGCTCTTTTAAAACTAAACAGAGTATTTTGACCTGCCTTCTGTCTTAAACCATGACAAAACAAAGCAAGTCTTCTTGCCAAAGTGTAATAAAACTTTCTTAAAAGGGGAACGTCTTACTACTTTTTGAGAAATATGAATTCGTCTTCAAGGCAGTTTTGTACTTTTGCCTTTTACTCTTATTTTCTATAAACATAATCCCCAGAATCTTAAGAACATTACTGATCAAGGTCTCTGTGTCTTGAAACGTTTACTATAAATTCTAAAGATCTGTGCTTTTTATAGGAGTTTTTAAGATTACGTTTTGTATTTTAAATTGGCTTTCACTTTATCACCACACATTGACTAAACATCAACAGTCAAACAACAGTTTTTTAGATAAAGCAAAAATGTGGTGGTTACAAAAAAATCATTTGCAAAACATGCATGTTGCTGTTTTATAAAGGTTCTGGATAAATGCAAAAAACTTACTTTTATTTCTACATAGAATTCAAACATACAGTAAAGAGAAGCTTTTGGAAAATGCAAAATGTGTTGTAATGTGTTTTTTATGTATTAAATGTATTATCTAATACAGAGACTAGTAAAAATATTGTTGGAAATAATTGTTTGGAGACTGCATATAGACTTTAAACTTTCTTTTTAAGAAAACAAAATATGCAAATATTTTAAGATAAAGTATATACTATATATACATTCACAGACATAAGAAATTGGCACCCCTAACCTGAATAGCTTGTTTCAGAGAATCATCCCAAATACAATACAAATTGTATAATGATCCTTCTCAGATGTAACATAACACAAATACACTACAAAATAATTCTGTGAAAATTTATTGTAACACACTGAGAAAAGCAAAAATGTATCAAACGAATAATGAAATCAATAACATTTGTTTTGTGTATAATGTCTAATGCCTCTCAGTGTATTTAACATAGCATAAGTATTGAAGTGTTCTTTCACAATAAGTATTGATACCACTTTTTGGTACTTTACGTGTATTTTGTAGTTTGACCTCAATTACATATGAGAAGTGATTGTACTGGTTATTGCTTGATACAATAAATTTATCAGTTGAAATACAGTATTTGGCTTTCTTGCATTACAAACTCTTGCTGGGCAAAGGTAAATATGTGAAGTTTGGCTGCTACAGTTACAGATCCCTCGATAGCATTTGGATAAGATACAAGTCAAGTGACAGGGATGACTATTTCAAAGTGATTGTGTGGCTCCTCTTCAAAAGTTGTGAACTGGATTTTAACTTCCTGTAAGTTAAGTTGTAGGTTGTTTTCAGGTTGGAAGATTCATCCAATGCATCTTGACCTTGTGGTAATGATGATTGGAATTTACAATCAGAAATTGGAACATAAAAGTCTGAGAGTATGTGGCTACTAGAAACAACCAGTCATATGAAATACAGACACAACTACAAATTTAACTAAACAACAAAATATAATTTTATTCATACATACAGTATATAATTATACAATAATAAAATGACTGTGATGGAGTGGCATCCTGACCACCAACTGCTTGCTCTGATAGGGACTGTCTCCCCCGTGACTGTGACCGTGACTGTGTATTGCAGAAAGCATTAATAAAATGGATGGGTGAAGGATGGAATAATAAAGTGAGAAAAACTTCTACATAAGTCAGAATATATGTTATATATGTTATTGAATATGCCATTATTCATAGAAATGGCAGATAAATAGAAAGGATAATAGAGCAACAGGGTTAAATGTGCATTGACTGTAATTTGTAATATACAGTCTCATATAACAAGTTGGCATTCATAAACTCGAAAGACAAGTAAATATCTTTTTTTTACTGTCATGAATTCATCTTTATCAAACATATTGGTTTGGGATAATAGATCCATTTCCAAATGTTACAATTTGAACATTGAATATAACTATATTCATACAATATATTCATATTGTCTTTATTCATGCAAATAAATTAGTTTTAGACTGTCAAAATAATGTTGCCTTTACTGTTCTAAGTCAATATTTTAATATATGTTAATTCAGGACTTCCCATTCCAGATCCTCATACCTCCAGTGCTGCAGGGTTTTTTTTTTCATATTTTTTTTATTGCATTTACCTAAGAATAAGCTAATAATTTAATTAATAAAAATGTGAAATTGTTTTGAGCTCTATAACTAAATAATTAAAATTAAAATTCCTTACACCATGGTGGCATAGTTGTTAGCATTGCTGCCTTGTAGCTGTGGGACTTTGGGTTCAGTTCCTGTGGCGCTGTCTGTGTGTAGTTTGTACAGTATGTTCTTCTTGTGTCCTTGTGGGTCTCCTCCAGATGTTCCAGTTTCCTCCCACAGTCCAGGGACATATTGATTGGTTAATTGGGTTCTGTAAAATTGGCTTAGATGTGAGTGTGTGTGTGTTTGTGTCTTTGTGTGCTCTGCAGTGGGGGTGCCCTGCCATGCACCCCTTGCTTTTTGGTACTGTAGGTACTTCATAGGCTCTGGCTCCTCAATGACCCTGTATTAGATAAAGCAAATGGATGGATAATGATCATTAACTTGAAGACTGCATTGTTTTAGGAGAAGGAAAAAACATCTAATCACATTATTAGTTTAATAAGGGTTCAACTAAGCAACCGAGAGTCCTTCTAGTAGGAAACATACCAGACACTAGTCACTAGGACCATAACCCTTTCCTAATCTGAGATTTTGATTAATAAGTAAATATTGTTATGTCTATTTGTAAATTTGTACCATCTCCTGATCCTGAATATATTTTCTCTATACTCCTTTTTAAATGTAGAGTGATTAAAAAAAAAAGATTTTACATACTAGGGCTGCCAATACGTATATCTGTGACTGTGTGTATAAGTGTTTTTAACCTGTTAAAAAACGTTTTCATTCTCTTTGTCTTCTTCTTAAAATAATGTATTTTGGAATTGTTCTGCATTTCTAAAGATCAATTTCATTATATATTATGAAATTATGAAATTGATCACAATATAAATTTTATATATTATGAAAATGAAATTTTAGCAGTTTGCTTGTTTAGTGACTTGAAACAAGAACGTGTCAATCCCTTTATGTTTTATACGTACTTAATAAAGTACCTTTTCAGATCGACCGGATCCTCCTACTGATCTGGAATTAACAGACAAGCATAAGCGAAGTGTGCAGCTCACTTGGATACCTGGAGATGACCACAACAGTCCCATAACGAGTAGGTCTTTTTTTTACTGTAGTCGTAACATTCAGTATGAACTACTACAGTATACTGTATATCCTAGCCTCCTTTTATTTTCACTGTGTATCTGACTTTCATATCCAGTTAAATTAGTGAGGCAGTATTAGAATAGAATAATTATCTAAAAAAAAACACAAACAACTCAAAAATAAATGTTTGTATGTAAGTATTTTTGTTTTTGTTTATAATGGGTTTATGAGCTTCTAGTTCAAACCTTTATAATGTAAATATAAAGGTTTTCTATTTAGAATATACTGTATACAGTATTGTATTATGAAAATAATAACAATCCTGGGTCATTCAATACATTTTAATGCTTAAAGTCATTATTTTATGCAGAAACAATAGGCAGGGATACCATAATAGTCCTGCTCATAAACATTAGATACTATCGTGTCCTGTTTGGATTTTACACACAAAAGCCCTTATTGTAATAAAAGTTAAAATGTAATGAAAAATAAAAAGTAAATTCCTCATCTGAGAAGATGCAACAAGAGAACAAATGCAGCAATACTTTACAAGAACCCAGCTTTTACTATTATAAAAGGGATTTACAGCTGTATTCAGAATGCTCCTGTGTTCCCACCATTTGCCATAAATAATATTTTCTCAAAATTTTCCATGAATGATCTTTTCTTTTTTTAAAAAAAATGCTTACCTAGAAAAAAACATGAAGGTATAAAAGAGAGACTAAGAACAAATGTACATGGGAGCCAGTCATAGCATACAGGAATATCAGCATATGAATTACGTACACTTTTGTACCCTTTAGCAATGTGTAACACTCAATTAAATGCCCTGCTAAATAACTGGGTGACCATCTGTTTTGACTTTAATTCTGTATCAGTGAGTACATTTCCTTCTCAGATCCATTTTCTTTTTTCTTTTTCAGAATTTGTAATTGAGTATGAAGATAACCTTCACGAGCCCAACGTGTGGAACTATCTGACAGAGGTCCCAGGCACTAAGGCCACAGCTCATCTCAAGCTTTCCCCCTATGTCCATTACTCATTCAGAGTGGTGGCAGTCAATGTGGTGGGCCATAGCAAGCACAGCATCCAATCCCAGCAGTATATTACTGACCCTGCTGGTTAGTGATCTCTATAAAGTGCTTCTTTTCTCAGACTGAACCAGAGTAAGTATAGTGAATTTCTGCTCTTACATCTTTTTTTATAGCACCTGATGAAAACCCGTCAAATGTAGAAGCTACTGGTACTGAACCCAAGAATTTAATTATAACTTGGAAGGTAAGAGAAAACATTTGATTTTAATGCTTGATATCTCTATAACTTCTTATCTTTATGTGCTCATCTGTATTCTTTTTTTTAGAATATTGTTCTTATTTAGCTTTGTTTTGTGCTTTGCTGGCAGTGTGTCATAAAGCTTCTGCATGTCATTAATTTACAGAGTTCTCCCTTTCTATTTGGTTGCCAAATCAAACATAATATGCATTCTCTTTCTTTTTATTTTTCCTTATTTGTTCTTTTGCAGCTTACTTATTTAGGCTGGTCTCCAATATAAGTTTTTAATATGAATGCTGACCAATTTTTTTTAAGTTTTAGAATCCTTTGCTGTTAACTTGCCTTATCATACAATTTAAATTAGATCATTTATTTTAAAGAAAAATAATAATGTTTAAAAATGCTTGAAGCTTAAACAGGGTACAGTCAATTTTTTCTCAATCAGATCAGCTGTTTTCTGAAGTGACGTAACTTTCAGGATGTAGAACACAACATTTTAAGCTTTAATGATAAATCCTCTCTTGGATTCAAACATTATTTACCTTGATCATTAAAAACAGCAAAAACTGTTGCAATAACACACAAGGAATTTATAGTGATAAGGAAATTGAATGGTTACCGGTTGTATTTTAGTATTTTCTTATCATATAGTGCTTAGCATTCTTTCAGGTTTTACATTCATAGAATCAGTTATAGAATGACCATGTCCATCCCTTCTTATGATGGCATATTTGCGAATTAACCAGTAGTCAATTTTTTTATTGTGAAATTTAGAGAATATGTTAATCCTACGAGAAAAATATGGAAAAAAGTCAGATAAATATCAGGCAATATCAATGCTGGAGTTGAATTAAGTGGGTAAAGTGATCCATTAATATCAAGGCTCCATAATAGCTCCATATTGTTATCTGTAGAGATATATTGGGAATTATCGTTTTCCTCCCATGTTGTTTATTGCATACATAGGTATAAATAATGTGCACATGAAAAAATCACAAGAACCCTACTGTACATTACAGTAGAATAGGAGTACACCTTGGTCATAATGGTTTCATAAAAGACAATACACAGGAAACTTACGTTACACTACTGTTTCATTTTCCTAAAGAAAGGGAATTGTTGTATTAAAGAAACATTAACTCAGATTTTTTATTTCTGAGTTAAAAAAATACTTAACACATATGATTGTCCAGTCCTAAGAAGTCTTTCAACACTGGGTTTATTGGGTACAAATTACCTACAGTATATTGTACATCTTGGGATTACCTCTGCTGCTGAAATGAAAACGATGGTGTAAATTAGGCAACAAGCTGCATTATAGGTATCAAAAGTAAACAATGAGGTTTTCACAAATGCAGCAGTTATATTTAATACATGTGAAACATGACAGTTTTGTGATTATTTTGGTATGTCTCAGGATCTGAATGAAAATATTCCTAGTGCACCATTTATAATCTCATTTGCTTCCTTATTGCAGCCTTTGACAGGGTTACAGTCAAATGGGCCTGGACTTCAGTATAAAGTTATATGGAGACAGAAGGATGTGGATAAAGACTGGGACTCTGTCACTGTTGCAAATGTTTCTAGGTTTGTAGTTTCGGAGACACCAACCTTTGTCCCTTATGAGGTGAAGGTACAAGCTGTAAATGACTATGGAAGTGCTCCTGAGCCATCAACTGTCATTGGATACTCAGGAGAAGATTGTGAGTACTCTTTTCTTATACCGATAAAACATAAAGTAAAAGACGTTGGAACACATCAATATGTGACTCTGGCTTATCTAGCCTCATAGTTGAAGAGCCTTGAATCTTTGTAGTATTACAAAATCAGGCAGAGTAAGCATATCACACACAATGCTGCTGCAGTTGTATTAGCATCGCAAATGCCTAGGAATGCTTCAATCAATCAATCAGAGTTTATTTATCAAATGCACAACGATACAGCGTGCGGCAGAAATTGCTGGCAATTAAATGTCTTTTCTGTGAGCTCACGGGGGGGAACATAAAATAAAAATTACAAAATTAAAAGTTACAGAACAAGGTTACATAATAAGAGTGCAATATAAATTGAATTAAAAACTCAATATAAATAGAACTGCTACATATACAGGGTGTATGCAATGCATTATGTCCAAATAGTACAAGATGCAGTATGCCAAATGCTGTACTGTATGTCCATGTAACCTGACCATTTAACAAAGACCATTAGGGGTGGTTGCTGAAGGTGACTGCAGCTTGTCTGTTTAGCAGTCTTAATGTGTGGTGGTAGAAGCTGTTCCGTAATCTGTTGGTCTTTGACTGAATGCTTCGATACCGTTTAACGGATAGTAGGAGAGAAAACAGTTTATGACTTGGATGGCTGAGGTAATTGAGAATAGAGCTGGCTTTCTTAAGACATCTAGCTGAGTAGATATCCTGGATGTTTGATAGCTCACTGCCGCTAATGAGCTCTGCTGACTTCACCACTCTGCAGTATTTTGCAATCCAGGATGGAGCAGCTCTCATACCAAGCAGTGATGCAGCCAGTCAGTAAACTCTCAATAGTGCACCTGTAGAAGTTGGTCTGGATATGTGTTGGAATGCCAAACTTCTTTAGCCTGTGGAGATAGAATAGGTGCTGCCATGCTGTTTTGACCATGATGTTGATGTAGTGAGCCCAGGTTAAGTCCTCTGTGATGTAAACTCCCAGAAACTTAAAACCACTGACCCTCTTCACTGCAGTCCTGTTGATGAGGATAAGTGTGTAACCTCCTCCCTGATGTTTCCTATAATCCACAATCATCTTCTTAGTCTTACTGAGAGGTTGTTATCCTGGCACCATGCTGCCAGGTTTTAAACCTCCTCCCTGTACGCAGACTCCTTACCATCTGTGATCAGGCCGATGACTGTTGTATCATTCACAAACTTAATGATGAAGTTTGAGTTATGCCTGGCGACACAATCATGGGTAAATAAGGAATAGAGGAGAGGGCTAAGTACACAGCCATGGGGGGCTCCAGTGTTTAGAGTCAACGTAGAGGATATGTTGGTGCCCACCCTCGCCACCTTTGGACGTCCCATCAGGAAGTCCAGGATCCAATTACAGTAGAGGTGTTCAGTCCCAGGTCCTGGAGTTTGCTGACAAGCTTTGAGGGCACTATGGTGTTAAATGCTGAGCTGTAATCAACAAACAGCATTCTCACATATGTTAATTTCTTATCCAAATGTGAATGAGCAGTATGGAGGGCAGTGGGGGATCCTCTGTTGATCTGTTCTGGTGATATGCAAATTGCAGTGGGTCCAGGGAGCCAGGCAATGAAGAGGTGACGTCTCAGTATAGTGACAGGGACAGTATTCTGTAAAATACTGTAGGTGCCGTCCTTTGGATGAGACATAAAACTGAGGTCCTGACTCTTTGAGGTCATTAAAAATCCCAGGGCATTTCATGAAAAGAGTAGGGGTGTAACCCCTGTGTCCTGGCAAAATTTCCCATTGGCCTTTACCAATCATGGCCTCCTAATAATTCCCATCTATGAATTGGCTTCATCACTCTGTTTTCCTCCCCACTGATAGCCGATGTGTGGTGAGCATACTGGCACACTATGGATGCCGGGTACATGCTGCACATTGGTGGTGGTTGAGGGGAGTCCCCATTATCTGTCAAGTGCTTTGAGTGGAGTGTCCATAAAAGCACTATAAAAGTGTAAGGACTTAATATTATTTTTTTCAATATTTATTTTTTTTTTAAATTGAATTCCTTTGAGAAGTAAGACTAAGATATTTATATCAGATATCAATCTATGGTAACTTCCAGAGAATTAAATCAATTTTCCTGCCTCACAAAAGAGGTGATCTGGACAAAGCAAGTAAATTTAAGAAAAACAACCTGCTAAGACCATGTTACTATAACAATATAGCAATAAGCCCCATTGTCATTTGATAGTGATTAAATAATTCGAGAAAACATATAATTTTGAAGGATTTACAGTATATGTGAGATGTTAAAGATATGTATTTTGTATTTTAGTCATTGGATTTTTCATTATAGCAATAAAATTGGCTATTTTGCAGTGCCAATGGTCTCCCCTGAGAATGTGGATGTACGAGCACTGAACAGCACACTTGCAGAAGTTCATTGGGATCCAATTCCTCCAGAAAGTGTTCGAGGTCGATTGAAAGGATATAAGGTATGCAAGTAAATAAAAAATGTTATTCCATTGCTGAGATTGAATTTTATTTTAAGATGTAGTAAGAATGAAGTAAGATGAGGAATGTTCACCATTTGTTTTTGTTCCATTCTGCTTTTTGGAATTTAAACAAATTTATTTTGTATTTCAAACTGAAATAAGTTATTCCTCACTAATCAAACAGGTAATCACATTGACATAATCTTTGTCAAGTCTGATCTTTAAGAAGTCAGAATTGTTCAGTAAGATATTAATAATTGGATTATCCATATAATTAATAAATTAATCAAAAACAATAAATTAATTGCTTATAGTTGCTTTTAGTTGACTTTTAATTATTCTAAAACATACACAGCAAAGCCTGTGTGATCTTTAAATCTTTTGAATGTCTGTGATCACCTGAAACCAATTTTCATGAGTAAATTCTATTTTTTTTATTATGTTGTCCTTTTCACATTTACATATTTTTTACAGATTTATTACTGGAAGGAGAGAAGTTTAGCCAAACAGAATCCCCAACATGAAGAGCAACAGATTTTGACATTCACTGGAAACAAGACTCATGGGAAGCTACCTGGGCTACACCCTTTCAGCCTCTATACATTGAATGTCAGAGCCTTCAATGGAAAAGGGGAGGGACCATCTAGTCCCAATCAGCAGTTTGAAACTCCAGAAGGAGGTATGGTTATGGCTGAGAGCTTGGTAGTAAGAAAATGATTTCATTAAGTTATTCAGACCAAAATACAGCAACAGTGTTCTTCGGTGTAGTGACATATACTGTAAAATGTAATGATGTCTAATGCATATTTAATGCATTGTCAGGTTATTTTAAGATTTTTTTCTTAAAAGAAACAGAGGGAATAAATAAGTGTTGGGGGAATATTACTTGAACAAGTAATCCCTTAAAGTAACTTGTGCAAGAGAATACTATTTTAAAATTAAGAATCAGTTATTTTAAAATGTAATGCATTATTTAACATAGTAACCATACACATACTACATAGATCACTATAATTGATGAATTATTAAAATTATTTCTTCCCCAACTTCTTGTTAATTTTAAGAAGTAATATTTAACATAAGTAAAGTGTAACTGCAAATAATTACTTTTTTAAAAGTAGCTTGCCTCAAAACCCGGAAGAATTTCTTGGATCAAGTCGTTACTAGCAACCAAATAAGTTAGACAGGGCTCTGGCCTCTGCTTATTTGCATACTTTATAACTGTATGTTTTCATGTAATTTTAGAATGTGATTAAAACTAATTAAAGTTAATTTAGTTTTCTAATTTGCCTTTCATTATGCCTATTTCAGTATGCCATCACCTCTCATTTCTCATGCAGTTGTAAACATCTCAACATAGTAGAAACCAAAGAAACTTGAAACAGACACACCTAACTATACACCAATATGGCTATTCTGTTTCTGAATAATACCGATTGACAAGTAATTGTATAGTGAAAAATAACATTTACTTTACTGGGCTGAAATTAGGACTGAAAATAGAAAATTAATATTTTTTTTTGCTTTTTCTGTTCAAACTTGAATGAACAGTTATGGGATTAGCATGCAATGATTTTGAAACAATTTGTTTCAATTTAAAGCTTTACACTAATATTCCAGTACCTGAACCTAATTCGTTCAAACAAACTGTTTGGAAGGTGGTAGATCGGAAATCGAAATGAAAAATTCCATTATTTCTTATGGGGAAAATTCCACCCCCTTCCAAAGCAAAGAGTTCACTCAAACACCACTCTAAACATATAATACCATACAGAACATTATAGCAAGCTTAGTGAACAATGCAGTTCTACTCAAATAAGCCAACTATAGCTATAAAATAATTAATGATAACATATTTAAATTTTTCATTCTTTCGTAGTAGATTGCTATCCAAGAGATCGGCTAGAACAATGTGCATACTGTTGTTGACTATTACACAAAAAAATATTTTTCTCTTCCTTAAATGACAAGAAGAGAGCACGGGCTTTCACTGTGAATGTAAACAAAGCACTGCTGCCTTACTGTGACCTTAACCACAATGTCTTGCACCCGCGCAGAAACAGACAGCTGTTCGGTGGTGCTGAATCCAGATGTTCGCAATAGGTTCTCGGCCAAAACTGGCCACTTTTGAACATCAAAGTTTGGATTAGCAAAATTCCGTTCCTATGATGAATTACAATGTTCAGATTAGCGAAAAGTCATATACCGACCATTCTTATACTAGGGTATGAGTGTATTCGAATTAATGAAGAGTGGTTTGTTTTGTTTTAATCCTTTACATACTATTTGTTATCAACTTATTTTTTTTTCAAGTTCCTGGTACTCCTACATATTTGAAGATTACAAATGCAGTGCTTGACTCTTTGACCTTGGAGTGGGGCCCACCTTTTGATCGCAATGGAATTTTGACAGGTTACACACTGAAGTACCAGCCAAGTGAGTTTGGTCATTGACAACATTGTTCTTGGAGCGAATTTTTCTTTTTTGCAGTTGTAATGTTACACATAAACTGTGTTCTCTCCATACCAGTACTGCAGTGAAAAAATAAAACTGTTGACCAAATATCTTGCCTAAGAAAATGCAGATGCATTTGAAAATGTCTAAATCAGTGAAGGGTAAATTGGCACTGAAACACAATTTAATGGCTATGTCATTTTGGAGGATAAAGTAGACAAAAGTCGTGAAAGAAACATCTGTTATACTGAGACACAAGCCTTTTATCTAAGAATCCTATGGAATAACTGTTCTGAAATCAGAGAGGATTCACATTCCCTATGAACAGACAGTATGAATAATTTTATATGCCATAAACGTCTTTCCATTTTTTAGCAGCCAGTATAATGACACTTGAAATATTGAAGTGGCAGAAAAATATAATAAAAGGCATTTTATTGCTCAGTTGTAAGTTCAGCTTACATTTTGCCTTAAGTAATATTGAATGAGGGTTAATTTACAGAAAGGCATTCAGACAACAAAAATATGTATTACAGCTTTGCAGTGCTGAGTTGCAGAAACTGTTTTGAGAATCAAATATCACCTTAACCATGTTCAAGGACATGTATGTCTTAAGGACAGGACATTTGGGGACTGTAAATGGGCAGAGAGGTGACTCTGTGGCTAAGGATCTGCGCCTGTGACTGAAAGGTTGCCGGTTCAAATCCCACGGCCAGCAGAGGAATCCTACTCCGTTGGGCCCCTGAGCAAGGCCCTTAACCCCAACTACTCCAGGGGTGCTGTACAATGGCAGACCCTGCGCTCTGACCCCAAGCTTCTCTCCCTGTCTGTGTCTCCTTGGAGAAAAAAAAAGCTGGGGTATGCGAAAAGATGAATTCCTAATGCAAGAAATTGTAGAGGGCTAATAAAGAAACATTATTATTATTATTAAAGTCCAGGTCTTTTAAGGCATCCCATGACCACATGAGTTTCCAGTTTTCACACTTTTTAATAATCATACACTATTCATTTTTGACCGTTCTTTGTATAAGCTTTTATCATTTTATATATACTGTAAGTACAGCGAATTACAATCTAAGCAGAAATAGAGAATTGCGGGAAAGAAATGTTAAATGTTGATGTGTTTATGGTGTAGCTACACTGAAATAAATGAGTTGTAATAAAATGTTGCTAATCCCATTAAACCTTTTCTTTAAAGTTAACAGCACCAATGAACTTGGGCCTCTGAAAACAATTTTCATACCTGCAAATGAAACCAATTGGACACTGAGTAACCTGAAGTATAACACTTACTACAAATTTTACTTAAATGCCCATACCGTAATAGGAGCAGGACCGACAAAAACAGAAGAGGCAGCAACAATTATGGATGAAGGTAAGTTAGGTGACAAGCTTTTTTTGGAAAATAATACCTTTAAAAATATTTTTTGGTGGTTGGTATCTATGTAACACTAGCATTTTAATTCTGGTCTCATACGCTATATATCTTAGAATTTTGCTACAGTAGTTACATGTTAACATTTTCTTAAACAATGAGTGTATTCACCCAGAGTAAATGTGATTTCAAGATGCTTATTGCTATATTTCCAAATCTGTTATCTTAAAGAATGTCTTCTTATTTGAAGTGATCTTTTTGGATGTTTACAATGCAGTTAATGCAGGCATGCTTAAGTCTTACTCTCATGTAGTGTTATTATGGTTCAGAAATGTTTTTGATTTGAAAAAGTAAATTGTTCAAAGAAAACTTAACTATCTTAAGAAAATGAATGACAGAAAAAACATGTGAAGCATCTTTCTGTATATACAGATCTAGCCATTCAGGATACATGATGGATAATGCGCCATACTGCAAATTGCGTACTTCATTACAACGTGTGTTAACACAATAAACCTTTTTATTTTTTTCTAAAAATCTAATGTGGGACTGCACTGCTTTGGTAAACCGCCAGTTGGTGCAGTGAATATTTAATGTGGCGTGTGGGCTGTCACATGAAATGCCTGGCTACGAATTCCAGCCAATGCCCGGCCCTGTGGGGAAAATCTTTGTCCCATAATAAAATGTAAATTATATACGATATTTGACATCTTTATTAATTTTATATATCATAGTATGTTAAATATTAAATTTATATTAAAAATAAATGTAAAGCTGTTTCAAAAACATAATTACTCAGCAGGATATATAAGAATAGTTTGTTGTTGTAGGCCATTGTGAGGGCGATATTTTCTTTAGGTTAACATAAGCATTTAAATAATCTATATCTGCCTTAATGCTAATTTAAATAAAAAATCATTTGGAATCTTAATTTTATTTAAGATAATAAATTATAAAAAATATATATTATATATACTATAATGACTTTAAAACCATATGGTATCATACTATATTTAAGGATGAATAAACACAATTAGTGCAGTAAAAAGCAAAAGAGTCAGGTTCTCCTGTGCCACTGTAGTGGTGCTGAAAAAAAGTGCTTCATCTCGGGAACCAAAGCAGCACAAAAAGCACAACTTTAACAGTGCTACTTTATACAGCACAAAGAGAGCACATCATACTAATTAAAAATCTATACATTTCCTATAGCTGTTCATCATTTCTTGCATCAGTTTTGACTGGTTTTAGCCCGTTCCTCTTTACAAAACTATTTTAACTTGGTGATGTTTGAGGACAGTGAATTGGAGTGCTGTGCAGGACTGTTCCCATGTTTGTGGCATCACCTCTGTGTCACGATTGTAGTCCCTCCTCCTTAAGGGCGCTCCGGCTCTTTTCACTTTGGATATAATTCTGTGCACCTGCCCCTTGTTCCAGCCTCCTTCCCGCCCCCCTTATGCCAGACACTCAGTCAGTTCCGTGCTCTGCATCTGGTTTCCATATCGTGCGATCCCGGGACCTGGTTGCACCTGGCTCCTTTATGTTTTTAAGTTTCTATGCCTGTTCCGGTTCCCCTTGCCGGTTCCGACCCTGGTTCTTGTTTTTAAATCCCTTGTCTTGGATGGATCACCTGGCCATGGACTTTTGCCCGTATTTTGGATTCGCCTATGTATTTTGGATTCTTTGGATTGTTTGCCTCGGCCACACCTTCCCCGTACACCAGCGCACCTAGGACACGCCCCCGTCTTCATTCCCGTCCTCTGCATGACTTTTTCCCCAGTGTATCCTCACTACATCGGATTGTGTCGTCTGCACAGGGTCCGGAAAGAACTGTTTCGTGACACTCTGATAAATTCACTCATTTTAGTAAGGGTCTCCGAGAAACAACGATCAGCATAGAAATAAAATAAGAAAAACCTGTTGATAAATTTGTGCAATTATCTGTCAGTCTAGTAACAACAACTAACCTAATCCACAAAAAACGTCTAAATCAATGTATCGTTCACTTTTTCCATTGCTTTCTCTATTGGCTTGGTGAAAGTTTGAGTAAATTAGCAACGGTAAATAACCTGGGCCCAAGGTAGGTTATTTTTGTAATTTCCTGTATATTACACTCAAAACCAAGATCGCAAAATCTTTCAGGTTCAGTTTCTCCTCAAGTGTAGCAAACATGTTAAAACTACCATAAACAAATTTAGGAAAACTAATTAATCTGGTCATTTGAGCACCAGAGAGTAAGCCAGCAGTTGTATCACCTTTTTGAGCCACAACTTACAGCCCACTGAAGCTAAGTAAGTGTGAGCCTGTTCAGTACCTGGATGGAGGATCACAGCCCTCAGTGAATCTCATTGCAGAACAGGACTCAGAGAAAGTGTGTCATGTGATCCGTCCATATTCATTCATGTATTTTTAATAATTTGAAACTAATTACGTATAACTATTGTGGTATATATAATTAATAATGTAGTATATAACATGTATTATTAATAATTATAAAATAATTACATATAAATATTGTGGTGTATATTATTAATATCCATCTTGTGGTATTTATATAACATATCCAAAATACTATATACATATTTGATTTAAATATTACAGAAAGTCTTTATTTCTTAAAATCAGAACTAGCACATTGGCCAGGAAGCAAACCCAAGACCTTCTAGCTCACATGTGAAAATGCTACCACTGAACCAAAGTGACACTCAGGTTGAATAATTTTTTTAGCAATCTTTATGTTTTTCACTGCGACAATCATGCTAGGAAATGTAATTAAAATAAGAACATCATAAACACACAAAATGTTTCCAAAATAACCACAGGTGACAAGTTAAATTAGATTAAGTATGAAGAAAGTGGAATGCCTTCCCACAACCACCTACAGTAAATACATTTATATTCATAAATTAATATTGTTAACTATTGCCATTCAGAAACTCATTTAAGTATATAAAATAAGTATATAAAAAGTATTATTGTTGGAGGAAACTCATGTTTTCACTATCTAATGTACCACAAGTGCCACTTATCAATCATCTTTGGCCAGTGAATCACAAAAATGAATGGAGTTTTTATAACAAAAGTTCTGGAGGGATGACAACAACCACGCTCAATCGTACCCAGCTGTCAGTAATTAACAATCACTCCCGTCATCCTTCCTCCACCAAACGCTATAAATACCAACGTAATTTCCTACTCTCCCTCGCGTGTGACTTTTGTATCCCACCTTCACCCCAACTCCACCTCTGCAGCGACCCCTTGGTTATACTACGGGGGGGGTCCTGGCCTCCTTGTCCTATGGCCAGGAGGTCGGACCTCGGCCAAGCAGGTTAAGCCAAAATCAACTCCATAATAATTCATCACTCTTTGATTTTGGGCGTTGTCATTCCTAGTGAAAGTAAGAAATGAGTTATGAGGTTTTAATGTGCATTCTGAATGGCTACATCTGTATGCAGTACCATACCTTAAATACAGTGTACATTTGCATGATATTTTGTTGAAGTTTACACTGAAAGCTATCAGATATTTTATAATGAAAATACACTTGATCAGTATCCCCATAGTAACTACTGTAATTTTACATAAATCATAAATTTAAGGCAATCAAATCTCAAGTGGCTGTTAATGAACTGCTTTTAACACTTTACCTTCAAGAAGAAAATCCTACATTCTGTCACCATTTTGTGCTGAGCTGATTGTCATCAGATGCTATAAAATTACTAAAGTGAGGTCACACAGGTGAAGTGTTTAGGTCAACAGCATAATTTCCTCGGCATTTAAGATGCCAATAGCAGTTGTGTGATTTAAGAATGCTTCAAAACTACGAAATACATGATTTTCAGTGCTTTCTGTACTTATTCTGTGTACACTATGTGTAATTGTTATGTAGTTTTTGGTGTTTTGTTTTTTGTTATATAGTTAGTTTGTGTCTTCCCTTTATAGAAAATTGTTTTATTTTGAATGCTTTAAGACGGAGGGGTTTCATCTGATTGCTGTTTCATCGTAAGGATCTTGTCTGGTGTATGTTGCCTATATTTCTCTCTCTTTCCCATTTTCTCATGACATTAGAGCTTATGGTCCATATTCTTTTTGAATCACATTTTTGAATCACAGTACTAATTAATAGTGTGAGGAAACCAATATCATTATCTGATGTATCTGACTGATACAGTAAGAGTCAAACTACTCCTGTCAAGCTGTGTACCAAACATAAAGTACATTACATATAGTAAAGCAACAATAACAGCAAGGGAACAGGTCTGATACACACACCAAACACCCACAAATCCCCAGAGCCCCCAACTGTGGGACGCTCATTCCTCTCTGTATCCCCTGACAAGGGATATGAGGGGACCTTTCTGCATGTGGATAGATCTCAGTTTGTACTAGCCCACTAGGTGTCTCTCTACTCACACTCGCCTTGACTCCTGCATCCAGAGCCCCCTCACAGGGAACTATTTACACCCATAAATCTGTTTATCATTACAATCTGTTACAATCAATGCAAATGTAAGCATCTATTAATATGGGGCTCCATATCCATTACAGTATAATACAGTATATGACAATATAACATATGGGAAAAATTTAAATCTCATCTTCTAATTTCAAATTATCAAATTATTCAAATTTATCAACTAAATATGTAGAGACCTGGACTGAAAGACAAGAGGTTAAAATTCTGACAGTTAAATTCAGTTTTATGATCTGCACTCATTTATGTACATGAAAGTGTATTTCCTTTTTTAAACTGTTGAAAGCTAATGAAAATGCAATAATAAGTGATTGTATAAGTGCAATAATTTAGTGAGCTAGATGTATTCTGGGTGCAACGTTACTGTTGTTTTGCAGAGAAGATCTATCATCTTGTTGCAGAAGCACAGCCTGTAGATCAGGCTGATTTACTAGAAGAGACATTGGAAGAATCATTGCACATGGATGAGGGAAATATCTTACCTAAATTTTAGTCTTTTCATTTGGTTTTCAGTCTTCTTACTTACATACAATTGGCCAGACTAACACACACATATATATATATATTAAAATTTAAGACTTTGTCTGGGAAAATATGTTGTGTAATTGAACTGAATTTAGTTTTTAATTTTATCATATTGGCAGAGACCATATGCTGTTCTGCTTAATATACTGTACTGTATGTATAATGAGTTGTGTACATTCAGTGTTAAAGTAATCTTTTTTTTTTGGTGTGTTCAGAGAATAATATGTATTTTACACTTGTAAAGAGATCTAAGGCTGCTTATTTAACCTTGTATTTTACATACAGTAAAGGCTGAACCCCCTCCATTGTTTGAGTGAAGCATCTTCTAGACTCTGGGTCCTTGATTAGTTTACATAATCAATCCACTGTACAGTAGTTCAAAAACTAATGTTTCAGTGTTTTCTAGTTTGACTGGTTTGTAGATCCTGTTTTCCTAGCTGGATTCAATTTGTTTATTTTCCTTCTTTAATTGTAAAGTATTCCAAAGAGATAAGAAATTATTATTACACAGTTTGCCTTACCTTACATGATTGATTGCTGACACTTGCATTGTAAATATTGTCCTTCAAATTGATTGACTCCTTTAGGAAAACAGGTACCATTTTGCAGTTTACTCTGTGTTGTCTTCCTGAATTTACATTGGTTCCCTTTGTTTCTATGTTTTTTTCAAAGCTCATTTTCTTCAGTCCGCAGTAGATGCGGGCAAAGGTAAAATCATAATGGAATCAAGTGATTGCATGTCATTGAATAAAATGATTTTTATTTTAAGAGAGAGCTTTGCTAATTTACCCTTAGAGAGGAAATCTGAATTTGCATGTACCTCTCTTTTAAAATTCTGTCCAAAGGCTTTTGCAGTGCATTGAAGTCACAGCTATGTATACATATTAGAAAACTACAATGTATTCTGTTCAAAACATTTCACATGCATTGACACAACACAAGTGGTAGTACCAACAAGTGACAAATCCTTCACATTAAGATGCTTTTGTAAAATGTTTCTTGCTAAATCTTTCTTTCAGTGATCTATATGTTTTAACTTTGTGTTCTACTTTAAGTATGTACCAGATAACGTCATTCATATCTAAAAATATAAATTTTTCTTTCAAAATTTTAGATTTTCTTGCTTGCTCATTAAGTAACTTGCATGACATTGTACGTATTGCATGCCTGCTACTTTCAAGTGTCTTTTACTGTCTTTCTAACTGTGTTCAATTGCCTGACATTCTAGTGTCTTTTATGTCGTTTACCTTATACCTTTCCATATTCTTCCAGGATACACAGAATCCCCTCTTCTAACTTCCCCTCTTATACAAACTCTGCGCCCCCCATTCCACAAGGGTACATCGATTTCTATAGTCAAGAAGCTGTTAATGAGTATTACCTTCTAGAGATCTGAAATATTTCAGAAGACTTTTTCCTTCTACTGTATATCACATTTGTCACTTTAACTTTAACTGTAATAGTGATACTTCTTTTTAATATAATCAATTTTTAAACATGAGTATGCAATTATCTGTGTAATTGAATACATGTGCGTTACAATGTATTGTAAGTTTGCACACCAGTGGGTAACTATTATACTATTATTTGTGTGACCTGGATATACTGTACTAGTTCCAGTGTCTCAGTATCATGACTGGTAAGACATTTAATCAGAGCACAGGTTATGTCCTGCAGTCCAGATATTTCTGGTTTGGGATACTGCCCCAGTTTACATTGGATACATTGTATAAAGATTACTCAAGTAGCATTGAATAACTGGCAAAACACTATGAGAGCTGGGTGGGCTTGAATCAATAAGGTTTTTCGTCAGAGTGGCACGGAATAGCAGCTCCTGACTTGCCCGGTATCTTCAGGTATCTTACTGCCCAAGTACTTATGAGCTGGCATTGTTAATGAGAGTTGAATAACTCCCCAGATCAATTGTAATTCTCCTGGTTATAAGACACTCGGGAATATGCTGTGTTGTACAATAAACACTGCTAGTTTAACTGAAACAAAAGTTTAGACTCTTACAGCTGAATATCCTTGGAGAAAATGTGTTCTTTTTTATTCCCCCTGTGCTGGTACAAGGCTTATAATATGGCTTTAGGAGATTAACAACTGGCTCCCAGATTTACTTCAAATGAAAAGAGTGGGTGGTTCTAATTAAAACCTTTGTTTCAGTAAAGATTTTGCCTGATTTTATGCTGTTCACATGCTATTTACATACGATTTACATAGGAGTAATTTGCAAGTTTAATTTGTTAAGGTAAAAATATTAGCAAAAATAACAGTAGATTTACCTTAAATTTTGAATATGTAATATTTAATGTCACATTTGCTGTCTATTTGTCAAAATGGATATTGTACAAAACAAGCATTGTCAAACATTTGACATAAAAAAATTAAATGAGTAATATACAGCTGACTTATATTCTCAAACACTTTAAAAATTAAATCAGCTTCAATTAAATGGATAATTGCATATTAGTTTAATGTGACTAGTATCCAGAAAAACTGTTACAAGTGTTAAACAGAAGTAATGCATATCTTTAGATCTGGTGTCCCTTTCCTAAAGTAATGCCGAGAGATAAACTAATTTTAACCTTTGACCAAGGAAATTTGCATCTATGTGAAATCTAAAGAAAAACTAAAGAGAGATAATGCCGAGAGATAAACTAATTTTAACCTTGGACCAAGGGAATTTGCATCTATGTGAAATTTTGTCAATTTTTTTTTAGATTTACATGTTGACAATAAATCATTCTTCCAGCTGATTAACCTCTTTCTGACCTGTTAGTTTTACAGTGTATGTTCTCTCTTGTTACATACTCAGTGCGTCCCGTTGTTCCCGCGTTTGGAAACGTTAGCACCTCCGTGTCAGAGGATGGGGCTTTTATCAGTTGGGAGTACTGGGGACCAGATAAGAATGTTTATGTTGAATATATAGTAGAAAACAGTAAGCCATCATTTCACTAGTTGCTCTTAAGATTTGTTGTTAAACCTTACCGGTACTGGCACTAAAGAGTTAGGTGGTGGGTGACTCAGAGACCTTGCAACTTTGTCAGCAGTTTATAGGTTTACTGAATAAAATATATTTGCAGAACATTTTCTGGCATCTGAGTGTTTGAGTTCAGGCTACAACACTTGTCCATTTGTACACTTGTAGCCAAGGCTATCAGTCACAATAGGACTATACATATGGACATGAGGAGGGCATGATAAAGATAGCTGAGCTGTTGCAAAACAGCACTTTTAAAGGAGTTTCTGCAGTGATGCTCAGAGCAGGTAGAAACAATGTCTGTACTCCAATTTGCATTTAATCCCTTGCTATTTTATCTCTTGATCTGAAAAGGAGCAATACAGTATGTCTCCAAACATGTACTGTACATGTTTCTCCACCTCTGTGTCGTTAATGAGTTTTTTGGTAGGCTAACTCAAGGGACATGCATAGCCCTGTAGAATTCCTGGGAGCTTTCCCATAAGCTTCTGATCATGGGCCAGGAAACTGGTGATTTAACTTCTCAATTAATTTCAGTTAATTAAGATCAGCTTTGAAATGAAAATCAATATCACCTAACCCTTTTGTAAGGCGATATATTATGAGTTCAGATGTGTTGTCCATCCTAAATCTTGTTAAATAATCAATTCATTTTTGTTAGACAAGTCAATTCAATCAAATTACTGTTGTTAATCATTCATCAATTCATCAATAATCAATCTACCTTCAAAAGTAGAGCTGCAAAGTGTCCTTGAAACTGTTTTCTAGCAAAGTTTACAAAAAGATACTTTTGTCTCTGTTATATGACTGTTCTGCGTATTTTTATTCATTTTGATAAAAAGACAAAGCTAAGGTTCTTTCTCACCTACTGCCAAACTTATTTTGTACGCATCTTGTGTACTCTTAGTATTTTTCTTGTAGCTTTTAGCAGGGGTCTCAGATTCTGTTCTTGGAGGTCCTTGTATCTCCTGTTTTTTGTTCCAGCCCCCAGTAAGCAATTAAACAATTAGTCTTATTATTGTCTTTGATATACTGTAAGCAGCCATATCACCCTGCAGCTCTCAACTAGCCATGCACTGAAGCTAAGCAGAGTTAAGCTTGGTCAGTATCTAGATGAGAGGCCTTCTGGGAAACCTTGTTTGCTGTTAGTGGTGTTAGTGGGACTAGTGGGGGGCACCCACCCTGCGGTCTGTGTGGGTCCTTATGCCCCAGTATAGTAGCGGGGACACAATACTGTTGTGGGCGCCATCTTTCGGATGAGTAGTTAATCCGAGGTCCTGACTCTCAATGGTCATTAAAAATCCCCGGGCATTTCTCGTTAAGAGTAGGGAGTTATCCCAGTGTCCAGACCAAATTTCCCTCCTTGGCCTTTACCTTGGCCGCCAAATTGTCCCCATGTAAGATTGGCTTGCTCTTGCCCTGCGATGGACTGGCACCATGTCCAGAGTGTACCCTGCCTTGCACTTGTTGCTTGCCAGTTAGGCTCCAGCTTCCTGCAACACTGTATGGTATAAAGCGGTTTGGCAAATGACATGACATTTTCTTTGATATACACAGAAGTTTTTCTTAAGATTTTTCAAAGAGAAATACTCAAGTACTCATGTCCCTTTTTTGAAAATTACAATTACTTTTTAAAACACCCTGAGCCTAGTTTGAAGTTTTACAATCATGAAGTTCATTAAATAATTAGACCAAATACATAACTTAGAACACAGGTAGAACAAAACTCAAAAGACAGCAGGACCTCCAGGAACTAGGTTCGAGACCCCTCATGTATAATATAGTATTGTAATGTATTGTATTTTTCAGTATATCCAGGACCTATTATATATTTTTGCAAACTCATGCAGTGTTTCGGTTTTTGTAGGGGAATGGTAGAGATCCTTAAAATTAATTGCACCAAATTGTGCCCCTTGGAGTTTGTTTTTATAACTATCCACCTGTTTAATAATGCAAAATGCCTGTGTTTATTAGTGTGTTTTGTATGGACTATTGGATATGCCATTTTGCCATTGAAATAATTTCTCTTTTTTATTTAAATAAAATATGTTGACTAAAATGTTTGCAAGTACAAAATATTTGTGCAGTAGTTGCACTGTTCATTACTGTTCATTAAATTAAACCAGCAATAGTTGAAAAAAAATGAAATCTATAAATTTAAGTATGATATGAATTTAAGAGTTACAGTTACCCGGAAAGTGGCTTAGTACTGCAAAATTTCACTTGCCAACCCTTTTCAAATCCGAAGCACTGTATATATACATATAATTTAAATTTAAATTAAAATGTTAAAGACACCCTATAACATTCAATTGTTTATATATTATACAGTATTATACAGTATATATTATACTTTCAGTTTATTTTTTTTTACATATATCTGATACTCCAAAACATTGAAAACGTAAAGCAGTGGTTAATACCTCTTTCTAGTAAATTTTTTGGTATAAGCATGATTTTATATTTCTAAACATTGCACCTGCATTCCAAGTTATTAAATTAATCTATATTTTTAAAATGCATTTAAAGAACTAAAATTAAGAACAAGACAAAATCCTTGAAAGTGTGCAGTTAGATTTATAGAGAAAATAAAAATTAAACCTTTAATGATATAATTAATAGTCACAATACAAATGTAGAAGTAACATAAACATTATTCCTGTTTTATTTTGTTATGAATAATTTGCTGTTTGGCCACTGCTTTTAACACAATGTGTTAACTTGTCAGATACAGCAGTATTACTACTGTCAACCCCAGATTTCATTTTAATCAGTCTCTAAGAGTAAATCTTAGTAAGACTGTCATAGTATTCAGTTAATCAATAAGATTCAGACAATGAGCATGTGTCAATGTAACAACAGTGATGATGCATTAAACGTCTTGATAATTCAGAGAACTCCAAATGTAGGTTTATTTCCTTTTTTCAAATTCATTCTCTTCCTAAAATCTTTTAGGTAAAGAAGATTGGAAAAAAGAGTTTGTAAATGGCTCTCAGTCCTTTTTGATAAAAGGGTTAAAGCCAGGAACATCATATAAAGTACGAGTTGTTGCTAAAGATCAATCCGATGAAACAATTCAGAGTACGGAAGAGCTTATTATAACTGTTCCAGGTGAGGCAGCACTTGTCGGCAAAAAACAAAATTCTGCCTCATGTTTTCTGATAAATTGAATCTCCAGGAAAATCTTCCATTCAAAATGTTGAAACGTTGATATATTTTTGTTTGCTTGCATTTTCACTATTTACAAAAAAAATAGATAGTGCTCATGTGCATGGGAAGCCCTGTAGAATAAAAATTTAAATTGACTATTTAATTTGTTAAGAAATCTCAAAAACAACTTTTTGTATTGCAAATTTCAGAGTTTTAATATTAACCATACGCTGTGATCTTATCAGGGTTTAGATTTCCTGCACTCTTAAATAGTGAAATTAGTTTTCTGCTTGTTACTCATGCTCAATTCATTTGCTTTGTCAGTAATGTTTCCATTTCCTTTCTTGAACTGTTTTTGTCTCTGAATAATTTTCATAAAAGTTATTTATTCATGTTGGTTACAGTAGCTTTCCAATACTGAAAGTAAAATATGAAGTTCAGAATAAAAAATGTTGATATAAAATGTCTTTGAATAAAGGGAGTCAATATACGGTACATCTACAGAAGGCTCACAGTTTGTGTAGCTTCAGTTGGATTTTTAGATTATGTTGTATTATGTATTAGATGGATTCTTTTTCTGTATTAAACAGAGGATTACTATATTTAGTACTGTCTGTACTGTATTCTTAATGACCAGCTTCAGAATGTACTGTTTAAGTACCTTTTTTGCATAGAGATGTTGATTTAATATGGGGATCAGACATACAGTATTAGCGCTGACTTGATATTTTAAATCAAACAGCATAACAAGCTGCTTATGCAGAGATGTTTCTGATAACATCATCTTTTCAGTATTTTATGTTGCCTGGCATGGACCCTTTCATGCATGTTTTTGATATTTCTTTTGTAATTATTAACCCATTGGCTTTTCCACTTTGCACACAAAGCATATACTGCCAAGTACATTTTTAAGGGACAAGAAGGATTATTTTTACATGTCAGATCTACTGTATGTACCGTATTGCTTTCTGTATGTTTAAGGTACTGTCTGACGATTGTAATTCTATTTATTAACACTGCCACTGTGTGTGGAAATGAGGATTTTAAATACAAAGTAATTTAGTGAATAAAGTTAATCTGGGATAATTTTTTTTTCATTTCCCAAATGTTTCAGAAAAACAAATTTCTGAATTGAATTTTCTTTAACACATCTTCTTTGTTTCCTTTGTTTTTAATGTGTCTAGCGATGGCAAGTCGACAGGTAGATATTGCCACCCAGGGATGGTTCATTGGCTTGATGTGTGCCATTGCCCTCCTTATATTGGTCTTGCTGATAATATGCTTCATAAAAAGAAATAAAGGCGGCAAGTACCCAGGTTAGTTAAATTTCTGTATGCGTTGTCTGGAGTCTTCAACATGAAAGAGCTGTTTTTCTAGAACACACATGTCCGTTACTCTAATTTTACAGTGAAAGAAAAGGAAGATGCTCATGCAGACCCAGAAATCCAACCAATGAAAGAGGATGATGGGACATTCGGTGAATACAGGTGAGAAGTGCCTCTGTGCCCTTACAATACTCATGGAGCAATTTTGTACCAGCAGGTCTGGAGCATCAGATTATTTATTGTTGGAAAGTATACTGTACATCTTTAAACTACAGCTGCACATGAAAAAGCAAGCAATTGGTGGACTTTAAATTGATGACAGATTAAAGAAATAACAGAAAACATGCAGATGTTAGTATAATGAACATTAAGCCTTATTTTAGCCAAAGCACAAATGTGTCATGGGATGATGTATCTAACTATATTGTATGAGTGGTGGACAACTCTTGTTCCTTCTGCACATGGCTTGTTTTGCTACATTGTGCTGTAAGGCCATCCTGTGATTTTCATTTTTTGATATTGTGAATTTTTGGAGCAAAACCTTAACAGAAACGTTATCTTGACAAAATGTATACACGCTCCAATGAGAGGCCTACATATTTTGTTGTTCACTTCTAAATCATGTGTGAATCTTCATTCATCAAAACTGTTAACTTTGTATGAAATACAGTATGTATATGAATGATTAAAATGACTTCTTTATACAGATTAATTAAAAAACACATATACACCACTGTGCAAAGTTCTAGACATTTTGCACTGTCCTATTGATTTTTTAATTATTTTTCTGTTTTATTCAAAAAACAAAGTTTTTGATTTTCTGCCGATATTAGCCTCTTTGTTTTCAGATAACTGAAAACAAAAATTTTCATTTCTATTTTGTAATATATAAAGTATCCTTTTTGGTTCATCAATGCTGGATAAAAATACATTATTTTAATGACAAGGAACACCTGTCTGATTCTATTAGATTTGATTAGAAATTTTGATAGATTAGCTCCTTCTTATTAGCTGCATATGTATGCTAAGCTACTTTGAATTATTGTGATCCGTGTTTTGTAGATCCTGATTAACAAATTCAATATTGATCAATAAAAAACTTAGTTTCTGTTGACCCAAACTCAGCTATATTAATAACTATCAAAGTTATTTAATTAGGTAAAAATACTTGTGGGGGCTGTTAAATTATTGATGTTCACATCACAGATATATTTTAGCTTCAGATTGTGCCTAATCTGTTTTGCACAGTTGTGTGTATAACATGGCAGTCTTAACGAAGTTACATTTTTTAAACCAGCTCTTTTGTTTTGTAAGGCTACTTCTTCAATTGCAATCTTGAACAGTTCTTTTATGCACTTTACTTCTGTTTTGCTGTTAAGATTTTTCTCTTAAGCAATGTTCAGATTTACTTACTCTGTGGTATATGATAGTCAGACCACTGCTTTTAATTATTTATCTTTTATATAATGTATTAGATTTTAAATGTATATGTTTATATATAGTCAAGTGCTTTAAACCTTATGCTATAAAAAGAATGTTGTATGATGTGCATGGCTACTAAATTTATAATTTGCTTGATGTAAAAATGTCTTCATTGGAGTGGATTAAAATGTAATAAATATGGAAGAAGAAATATGCATTTGAAATATACAGTATATCTATGTACACAATACTAAAGTTTCTGTGTAAATGTTTGCCTTTGCCATTCAGTACATCATTTAAAAAATAAGTAACAAATATTTTCTGTCTTTCAAGAATGGAAAAGTCATTGTAGTGAATCAAAAGGCAAAATGTGTAATATAAAGTCTTTCTGAGTGTTAAGCATATACAACAATTTCTAGAAATACCATCCCTTTTAGCCAAACTGACACAAACTATTAGTCAATAAAGATACAAATAAAATACACTTTCTTTTGTGTTTTGACTTTACTGGAAGCCTTTTATTTGACATGATTAAGCCTGTTTTAAGGTAATAGTTATTGAAGAAGTAATCAATCTTAAATGCGCACTTACCACTTAGCCACTTTTCTATAGATTAATTAAATAAAATACTGTATTAGATAAATCCAAAGAAGTGTACTGCAGGTCAAAATGATTGCAAAATGCAGAAAATGTTTAGAAAAGCAGAAAAACATAGAGTTTAGTAGAAAGTAGCATAATTCTTGATCACTTGTACTTACTGTAGGACCTTTTTATTATAGTTTTAGTTTAATAAAACTATAACATAATAAAAGTCTAACATAACAAAACTATTTTGTTATGTTAGACTTTTCCTGTTTTGTAAGAGATGTTCAAGCACTCTGTACCATTATAATCAGAAAGGATTCAGTAGTGGCACCTACATTAATTGCCCTATTGAGAATTTTCATTGTATTTATTGTTAATAATCATCATTAGTAAAAGACAAAGACTTAAGATGTCAATGTAGAAATTACAGACAAACAGGGGTTAACAGATGCCATTCTTTGAAGCTGCAATACAGTTTTATTGCAAAAAAACGTTATTACTCGTGATGCAATAATTGTGTTTTCATTAAGTATTTCATGGCAGATTGTGGGGTCAGGACTGACAGGAATAAGAATTCACTTTTCCTCTTAGACAACTTTCATTTGTTTCTTCTGCATTCTTTATAATGGGAAATATAGGTCACTTGAAAGGTAAGGAGGTAACTGCAAGTCTGGCATGCGCAACATGATACACATGACTATGCAGTCAGTGGTGTCTGCCTAATATTAATGGCACTTTGAAAAGCTTTTTTAAAATCGCTTAAGTGATACTTATGCATCATTCACTGCCATGAACCATCTCTGGCTATCATTATTATAGTTAACATGGACTAACTGTCAGCCAAAAACAGCTTTTTTTGTTTTGGCAGTTACTTGGTCCTCTGGTTGTTTGTTATTATTTTTGGGCTGAAGTCATGCTTTGTATTTTATTTGCATCACTGCGTTGGATTTTCATTTTTCATTGTCAATAAAGGTTTTGGTGAAAAAGTGTTTGATGACAATACACAGCTAGCATCTATCATAAAATCAATGACTTGTTAGCATTTACTGGCTTACAGGGGATATCAAAATAAAGTAAACAAAAATGAAAATAGTTCCCTGTTTCATGATGAAATCCAACCACTCACTGTTGGATTAATCACTTTTGTTTTTTGTCCATTACGTGTTGGGTTTTATTAATCAAGGTTTAACCAAATATCATCATAAAATAGGGAAATGGATTAAATTTGCATTGTTTTCTAATAGCACGTGTGAGCCACACTCTAATTCAAGTCATTGCAGGATATATTTTAACATATTTATGTATAATAAAGGACATGCATATCTAATGTATATTGGTGGCATGTTTTTTTGCCTTTTTTGCTCCATTGAAAACAGAAAGAAATTGACACCTAAAATGGCTGAATATTATTTGTTTCGTAGTGACACAGAAGACCATAAACCATTAAAAGGAAGCCGGACTCCTTCCAATGGGACAGTTAAGAAAGAGGACAGTGACGACAGTTTAGTTGACTACGGAGAAGGCGGAGAAGGACAGTTCAACGAAGATGGATCTTTTATTGGACAGTATAGCGGAAAGAAGGAAAAGGATACCGCAGAAGGAAATGAGAGTTCTGAAGCTCCTTCTCCAGTTAATGCAATGAACTCCTTTGTGTAATCTGGAAGTTGGAACTTCTCAAGTGACTGTACACGTTCATTTCACAGGCTGTTCCATTACACTGTGACCTGCCACTACATGCACATACTGTATGAAACCATGACAAGAGAAATAGGCTAGGTGCTCTAAGAGAACATAAAAGCAATATGGAGAATGTATGGCAAGAATAGGCAGACTGCCTAACATGCTTGGTGATAAAGAGAACTGGGATATGTTTTTGTTCTGTTATTCTTTGCATAAATATATTTTTTTCTAATCATAATGAATTGGCAAGTAAACTGCATAAAACCCAACATCTTTCATCTGCTTCTAATATAGTGCATGAGAATAATAACTAAAAATAATCTTCTATCACACTTTATAGCACACAAAGAAAAACGTAGTGTATGCAGTTAAAGCAGTGGATTCATTTTTGACTAAACCGTGCACATCTGAATTACTGGGTATGAATTTTGTTTTATTGTCAAAGTGTTATATTGGTATTATATTAAAAAAGGCATCAATGTCTTTGTGGACATTGCTTTGGAAATTGTGACTAAATGTATAGCTATTATTATATGTCTTTTTGCAAGACAGGAGCTGTTTGTATATAATTGCAGAAAAAAAATATATATAGATTGGAAATTGAGGATGTATGTTTATGCATAGGGCTCTGATCTTATAGTACTTGTAGTCACCTTAATATTTTAAAGATTCAGCATACTCTCACAAATGTACCAAGACTTGGGTCAGTGTAGTAATTTTTTTCAACAGAGATTTTTCATATTGCAATTGCACTAATTAAAAAGGATGCTCAAACAACCTAAAAATATCAAAAACCATAAACATAACACACTGATTTTTGCTACTGTATTTGCAATTCCGACCAACAAGGCAGCCAGTGATGTAAAGGTGTTTTTTTTAAAATGTGTGTGTTAATGTTTCAGAGTCCTGCCTTTAGCATTGAACAAAAAGTCTGCTTACTGTATGTCCACTCAAATGTTTAAAACAAAACAATTGTCTCTCTTCTTGCAGTCTCACAAAATGGGTGGTGAGCGTCCTTCAGTGAATAGTGCCTTTGTAGACACAGTATTATTTCTAGATTCATTCACAAAAAAGCTTCATTTTGGTTAAAGGAAAATATAAGAAAACATCTTAGCATGTGCTTCTTAACTATTATGGCTGCACATGATACTTTTTTAAACTATCAGTAATTGAAATCATTAACCATAAAGGTACTAAGTATATCCATTCCATAATTCTATTATAGGGAGACTATTAATGCAGTTTCCCTTGCTTTGTCAATTACATACTGTAGCAGCTGTAATGTCTGAGAAGTACAGTAGCTGCTAATTGTTTTCTGTTTATTCTCATTTTCAAAAACACCTCTGCAATGGAGCAATATTGGAAACACACAAAATGTTGACATCTTACCAAATGCTTCCTCCACTTCCATTTGCACACAGGAGAACTGGGAAGTTCGGTCACAAAGATTAAAAATTCAATTAGGCCTAAAACTTGTACTCCTTTTAGAAATGCCAAGAGCCTTGTGAGTGAAAATACTGGAATTTCATAATTTGGGTGTTCATAACTTGCATCAAGTTTACATTTAATTTTATGCTTTTGTGTGTAGATATTTTGTTGAATTTGTAAATATACCCTAATTTGCTGTAGACTCATTAGGCCTGATATGTACTGTGTATGAAATACTTTGGCCAGTGAAGTGCATTGTATTGAATATTATCTACTATACAGTTTCCTTTGCTGTGAATTTGTAAATTTGTAACTCACAAAATGCAAGTCTTTCAAAGGTTTCTCACTAGCTCTAAAGCAGGTTAGAGAACACAGTATGACTTCCAAATTGTATTTTTTGTTAGGTGTCAAATGTTTCTTTCTGACCTTGATGCACCTTTTCATCATTATAGAAAACCAACTCCACAAAGGCCTCCAGAAACAAATTCCTCTTGAAATTGCAATTCTGTTACTGTAGGTATGAAATGCCATTCTGGTTAATGTGGATGCTGAATGAGACTGTGCATGAAAGGCTGCCAAATTGGTTATTCAGTAATATCGCAAGATTATTTTGTATTTGAATCAAAATAAATGTGGTTTCAGGATTTCACTAACAATTTATTTTTCTTTTATTTGTTTCTTAAATGGCTATTATTCAACATTCATTGGGAAATCTTTTATTCTGTGTAAAGCAAAACAATATTTAAAAAGAACTACAACCTTACATCCTTTCTTGAGCTTAAAATTTAAGGTATTTCAGCTTTTTTAATTCATTATAGAGAAATATACTGTACTCTTGAATGAGTAAATATAATGTATAGATTCTGATAAGACAAACCATAATAGAACATTCTATTAAATAAAAAAGTTAAATAATGGTAGGGGTGCAGTGTGTCTCAGTAATAATAAACACTTCAGCTTAATTAGTATGGTAAAAAGGAGCAGAAAACAATATACAGTATCACCCTGTTTAACAAATAATATACTTCCTGTTTACTAATTAATGTACATGACTAAAAATGAGGATAGAATGAATCTTGGTTGGTGTTTTCTACTAGAAACGGATTTTGGTGAATTGTTAAGTGGTTGGTGGTTTTATTAGTTTGCATTCAAGATTGATCAATGTTGTAGTGTGAGAAACATTTGCATCACGTAGTGATTGTAATGTGAGAAACATGTCTAACCGTGCAGAATCCCACTGTATGCTAAAGGTCTTCTCAACGAGGCAGCTGGATGCAGTTTACCATGGTAACCAGGGTAACAGAATGCTCTACCATTCTACATACATCACATATTTTAATGTATAATTATGAACTAAATGCTAAGTAGGATTCTAAATGGTGAAACAGAATTCACTTGGAACTTGATGTAAATTAACATCTATTTTCCTCTCAATCTTAGCAGTTTTTATTATAATATAATAGTGTAGCAGAAAACTCCACTCTTTCAATAACCTAAAACATTTTGAATATCTTTATATACAGTGTAAAGAAATCTTATAAGGAGCCACAGCTGATAGAAAGCAAGGGAAATTACGACTTTTTCATTGCATTGCATTTTTAGTTTCAGAAGTGTTTTTGAAATGAATAAATTGGAGCAATATATACATTTCTATTAGTCGCTTACATTACTTTTCAGCAAAAACAATGTTTAATCAGTATCTTTTGTAACTGTATTAATTAAAACAAGCCAGGCCATCTGAAAAGTAATTACAGAATGTTAGTGTTAGGAAGAGGAGAACAATGTTAATTCAATCAGATGTGTTTCAGTTAGAGCATAAGTAGAAAGAAAGTAATCATCATCTTGAGTTTTAAACATTCAGGCAGACTTCCAAATCTACATTATTTGTGGTGTCATGATACTGTAATGAAAAAATAAATAACTTTTTGCATAATATACAGATTCAGTGAATAAGCATCTTTGCACATTGTAATAGTAAACTGATATACTGAAAAATATTGGAAGACATTTTGAAATGTGTCACTGCCATTTTTGTACTAGTGTTTAACTTTTCACTTCTATTTAACTCATTTTTTACAATATCCTGTGATTTATGTGCTTCATACGGTAGTCTAACTTTTAAATATGGGGATTTTAGAAGCAGTTTTGTTGCTCCTGAAAACTGAACACTACAAGGGCTTTATTTGATACACACTGAAAAACTATTCATTTTTTACCATATTGGAAATATATACAGAAGTTATACAAGGCTATAAAACATATTTATAACCAACTGCTTAAAGCTCATACTGTATATAGGTTTTTCTGTATGAAGAATCATTTTATCACTCTACTGGTAAAATAAAAATCTAGACATATAATACAGTGATGATCTTATTATAGTGTGTTTTATTCTTTACTACCACCTAGTGAGTCTAAAAGCAGAAAATCCAATGGAAAACTATTAAATACAGTACATTGCATTATTTCCACAGTGTAATTGAGGAAATAATATCTGAAAAAAAATACAAAATGTTTTTTCTAAGACCTAATATCTATCATAGCATTCACTTTGACTCTGAATGTTAGTGTAGACTAGCATAGAGCATAAAAGGAATAAAAGAATGAAAAGATGTACAAGTACCACTGTGCTCAAATGTGGAAGTATGAAATTTAAAAAATGTTTTCTATACATTTACAGGGTGCTGCATTAGGCTGCATGGTGTTTAACCATATACTGTATATTTACTAAAATAAAACATTTGCATGTACCATTAATCCTAAGAGCCATTATAACAATTCGGAGTTTTGGTAGAATCACAGATGATATAGTAGTTAGGTTGAAGGTGACAAAAAGAAGTTCAACACAATACAGAGACATCAACAATAAAGCAGCTGAAAGAAGAAGGCATACTCTGCAAAGGATGCAAAGACAGATGAAGTTTCTACTTCTTCCAGAATCCATGGGGTTTCAATGGCCTAACACCCATGATGTGTATAAAATCCATTCATAACGACTGGCAAGAGAAACGGGACCGGAGATGTGATCATCAGTAGTCCCTAGTCATGGATCCACATGCAAGAGCTGGTCAAATGATGGTGGAGTGTCATGAAATCAGCAAGAGGTTATCAGAGGGAAGAAGGAGGAAGCTACACATTTTTCTGGAAAGCTCAACGTTAAAGTGGCAACTGAGTACATTGTGTCAGTTTTGCTATCAATTTTACTCTTACACTGCAGTTCTGACCACCATCCTAAAAAACATTTTCCTACTCAGCGGCTTCAATGTGAGAATATGACAGGTTTCTAATGCATGGACAGGCCCCACTGTTAAGGAAGGTATTGTATGGGGAAGGCTGGTTCCAGTGTTATCCTCCTACTTTACAAATCTCACTGACATCATCTTTAGAGAAAACTAGAGGTACAAAACAGCTAAATCCTTAATATAATCCTAGATAAAATCCTTTTCAAAACAATAGGACATCAGTGACTATGACAATGTAAGAACAAGTGATCAAAAAGATGTCAATATCACACTGTCATGAGAGGAGTGGAATGCTGCTGGGGCAGTCATCATAGTAAGATCAATCATCTTTTTAAATCTAAATCATCGTACAGGACAAATTTAAAAATTGCAAACAATCCAAATTGGTCTGATTAGAGTATAGCCCTAAAGCTCAAATCCTGCGTCCTCTTGCAGAGGAAACCCCCCTGAATCCCAAATGCAGTTTCAAGACATCAAGTGACACTACAGACATGATTTTTGTCTCTTGGTAGATCCATGAAAAAAATGTCAAGAACAGTGCAGGATTTGTAAATGACCATAGCAGAACATTCACCCATTAGGCCAAATACTAGATCTTATCAAATTTTAACAGCCCTGGGAAATTCCTAGCTTGCTGCCTTCTTCATGACCAAAAGACTGACTCTATCCAATGTGGCGGCTCTCTTACTTAACCTTTTGCCCTTCAAACTTACATCAAGTAGTGATTGCATCAATGGTGACCACTGGCTAAGTCCCATCGTGTGTGGACTTCTAAAAGTAAGTTATGAAAGAAAACTTATGTGGGTCCGTGGCTGGCAGACAAAAAAGGAGAGGAGAAAATCTGCCCCATATATAGTAACTCCACTGTGGGAAAGACAAGCGCATCACTAGATACTGTAGATGAATAGTGAATTCAGAGGTTATCAAAATATAGGCATTGCCAATTTTAAAAAATATTTTTAGCATTCTATTAATCAGTATGTTCTTCAGTTCTACATGCAAAACACATGCAGGAGTTAATGTGCTTGGCAATTTTGGTATTTTGGCTGTAAGAGTTGCCAAGTCCAGGCTGCTGCTCTGTGAGGAGAGTTAGATTGGCATGGCAGCCAGCCTCTGCTCCCCTTGCTGTGCCAGTTGCCATGGACACCAACTGTCAAGAGACCTAGATCACCTGGAGGAAATTACCATTTCGCCTGTCCGGGTGATTGGGGGGTGGGAGTATTTAAGGACTTCTCAGACTCTGCTTTGGGCTCTGTTATACAGTAGATCTTGAACTCTGAGTCTCCATTGTGTTCCCTAACTTTGTCTCCTGTGCCTTGCTTTGGATTCCTGACCTCGCTTTGTTCTCTTGACCATGATAGCTGGATCTCCCTTTGGCTTTGTTTACATCTCCCCGTCTTAGACCCTGATTGCCTGACTCCAGTGCTATGACTTCATGCCTGCCTGACCATCTCATCTGGTTTGGCCCCTGTGCTTTTGCTTGTCTCCACCTCTGTAGCGTGCCTGCAGCTCTGCAACTGTTGTGTGGTTGCCTGGCAGTGCAGCTTGGAAACCCCGCCTGCTACACCACCATCCATGTGCGACTTTTGAACCTCTGTCTTCATGTTGTACTGCACTGCAGCCTCAGCACGCCGCTCACAGTTTCCCCAGGTTTCATCCTCCTCCCTGCAAGTGGGTTGTCCCATTCAATTCTTGAACCGCTGTTCGTCCCACAAGCAACAGGATCATTAATAAGATTATAGGAAAAATGTAATTGTGTTTGTGACAATGTGTTTTATAAGACAACCATCTAATTCCAAGCTTGAGAGGAAACCATTAAAACACAATCTTACACTGTAGTTCATTTTTAAGATTTGTAATTCGATGTTAAATGTAACATTTATTTCCATATTAGTGCTCAAGTTTGAACTTTTATAATTGTTAGAACATTTTTACATGAGTCACTATAGTCGTTATAGATTTAAACATATGTTCATTTCAAACACTCCTTTTCTATTGTTTACCTTGTTTCTTCATTTACCCTACTTAACAAATTATGTGCACAGCAAATTTCCTTCTTTTTAGAATAACATTTACCCAATATTCAGTTACTTATCTGTTTAATATGACCTTATTTATTTTTCTATATATTAGCATGCAAATTAATTAAAACAGCACCTGCTTCTGTATTCTGATTCACTTTGATGTCATGAGCTCAAACCAGTGCAACATTCTGGAAAGTGTGCCAATAAACTCTTTGACTATATAATATAATTAAAATAATTAACTAATACTTCAGGGAAAATACCACAAGTACCTGCTCTGCAGTGCCAAAGTTGGAATAGCAAGAAGAGATCCAAGCACTGGGCTTCAGGTATCTCCAAAGTTATTCAGGGAGAGTCTAGGCTTGGGTGCTTCTGGCAGATTTGCTGTCA